GATCTGACTTGAGTTCTGTGTTATAATCCCCCATTACTATTAATGTGCCTTTGTCTATATACATGCAAATTATATTTTCTAGTTCTTCGAGACAATTTCTGTATACATGCATGGGGTGATTTCCGCATGGCATATAAATCTGAAGAAGGAAAATGTATGTTTCCGGTTTTTATCATAATTTGGATGCCAATAAAGTATTTTGAAACAATATCTAATGGTGTAATATATGAATTCCATTTCTTATGCCATAACATTGCCAGACCTCCTTTCCCCACCCTTCTTAAAGATGGCATATTCAAGGTCAGGGTCCGAAACAGAGAAACTTATATAGTTGTTATTGATACTGTCTAAAAAATGGAGGTCTTTTCTGTATAACCAGTGTTCTGATATACCAAAAATATCTATATTCTCTTTATTAGTAAGTCACACAAAATAACTTGCGCCTGAGATGATTCCAGTTGAATTCCAGGTCGCAATTTTTAAATTATCTTTTAAAGTTGTCAAGACACATGTTAGTCTACAACATGCTCTAACACGGAGTATGGTGTTGTATTGATTATAATTGTATTTGTTTCCCTCCCAGTAAGGCTTCATCATTGCAGTTTTGGTTTGTTCTAGCGTTGGCTTTTTGACCCATTACCAAAGGTATTAATTTCTTTATCGTTTATAACGGGACTTATTATATGCATTTAGAGACATCCATGGTCTGCAAGTAATGCCCCGTGGCCAGAAGTATGGATCATTAATTAGGAGATTACCCTTACCGTTATCTTCAACGTTAATTCTTACTACAACTGTTTTATACTTTCGGTTTCTAAAGATACATACTTTTGTAACATGTGGCCCCTTAGCCTGAACATATTTTTTAAGTTTTTGTTCGGTAATTGATTGTTTGAATCCACCAATATAAAACCTTTTTGTGCGCCGTCGCACATATTGGGAAAAAATCATCATCCCCTCCCTCCTCGTATTCAACGTTAACGTGGAGGGGCGGATCACACTTAGGTGAAGGGATGGACATTGCCTGTGTAAGGGTAGTTCGGGTCTGTGATTAGTTATGTTGCTTCGGGCTCGGCATTGACACCGGTTTACAGCTACCATGTTTGGTATCTTTTTCGAATTGATCAGGTTAAATGGGCAAGACTTGTTTTTAAAGGGGTACCCGTGCCTTTACATACATCTGCATACGAGACCTGGCGCTTTGTCTGGCTATCAGATCTTGTGGTTACGATAGTTTGGTATTGTTTGGAATTGTTTTCTGAGGTTCCACTTTATTAGCAGAAGGAGGGGTATTTTGTTACATGCTTTTTAGCAGTGAACTGTGCTTGTCTTTCGAGGGATTGATCATTGCATACGGTTTCATTGACGGATGCAGAAGATGAATTACCACTAGGGGTCTGGGAGTCGTGCCCAGGTTGTGACGTGACGGGTAATTTCTTCTGCATTCCGCAAATGGTCCGATATATTCACACCACAGGTTTCGACACATGATTTTAAGTGCGCAAATGCAAAAGATATCTGAATAAGGTGGTCTTGAGTATTTTTTATAGAAGCACTATTAGACTGAATATATGTCTTACATAATTCTAGGTCTTTCATCACTGTGGATTCTAGTTTTACTAACATGTTTATTTATGTTATCAACACAAGTTTGAACACTGTCATGTTTGTTTGTAAGATCCATTTTAGAATGAATAACTGACGTAGATAGTTTCTCCATAGCTTCCGCATGCGTAGATTCAAAACTGCACTGTTTCTGTTTCACAAGAAGAAGATCTGCTTGTAGAGATGCAACCGTGTTCTTGAGTTGCTCCATCTCTGCTTTGCAAACGCATTTATTAGTATCTTGTAAAGTGACAGATGATTTACGTCGATTAGGCTTTTTTGATGTTGTTATAATATTTTTCAATAACGAGTAGTCTTCTCCTTCGATTACGCAGAGTATAGCATGAATATCGTAGGCAAGCTTAATATCAGCAGAGTCCCCCTGCCTGGTACTTACACGACGTTTAAGCGCAGTATTTACATCGAAAGGGTACCTTCCGATTCCCTTATAATGTTAAAAAGCATTTGACGGCTTTCTTCCAGTTTTGTGTCAGACTTGTTATATTCTAAAGACCAACCTGTCGACAAACATGTCTGCTGGTAGGTCTCTTACCCACGACTGCAATTGATATAGCTCGTTCAGATCCGTTTCTGTCTTTTTATCAACCCGAGGAATGGCTTCAAATGATAACGACTCATTTAGCGTTGTGTTTAAGTCAATGTTAGGGACATATGTTTGGAATTTATTCGGTGACATTGGCGACATAGTACTTCTATAGTCATATTGAGCGAAGTTGTCAGATTTCATCGCTGTATTAACGGGGAATTTTTACCGTTGTTTGATCGCTTAACATAACTGGTTCAAGTTCCGTTAGATTTTTGTCGAGTGCCATATTTTATATACACCAGCGATCAATGATTACTGATCACAATTCAATCGTCTGCAGTTAACACAATTCAACGTTTGCGCATTGGTCATTGCAAACAGTTTTCAAACAAAGAAGACAAAGAAAATTTTGCTAACTTCCAAATTTCAAACTAATTCAAGTTATATTTTCATGATATAGTACACGAATTATGAAGTTAATCTAATTTGTAAAGAAACCATACTGAATATAAAATCCAATCACATATAATTCCATATATAATTTACGTTTTAGTGCGAGAGAAAATTTTCCACCTCTCCATAACCGGAACCGGGTTTTTTCGTTTATAACGTAACTATAGCGTCAATAAAAACGCAGCCGTAAAAATGCAAATATAATGAGTAAATACAATAAAAAAATGGGTGAAATTATCTAACCTGAATATTTCTATTAAAGTTCATTAAATTAATCTTGAATATTCAAATAGATCTGCCTAATACCAAACTAATACCAATAACATCATGTCTGATATATGTGAAGTTTATTTTAAAGAGAATAACGTTGTGTTTTGTCGTGAATCAAATGTATGTTAGCAATAAATAATCACATATCATAAAAAGTTAGCAAGGGCATGCAATTTTCTGAATCCATTTTAACAATTCATGAACACATTTATATATTATCAAAACTGAATTTCGCACATAAAACCCGAAAAATGATTTTAAATTTATTTGTGTCACTAAATAAATATAACTTTACTGTTTTATCACAGATATATAAACAATTTATATTTAGCTCCATGTTTTTATGTTTCGCAACTTCAATTTCAAAATAAAACAATCATAACATAATCATATACGTTTCTACATAATTACAGTCTCTCTTTGAATTTGTAAGATATAATGATATTTTGTCAGTTTTAAATTTTCATTGAAGTCAACAAGAAATAACACGATCTTTGCAAAACGTTTCATGCGTCATTAATACGTGAATGCAGATTTGTTTTTACTTTTTAAAAATACCATAATACATTTATACATTGAATTACTCAATAAAACCATCAAAATTTTATATTTACAAAATTTATATAAGGTACATTCATTGTTAACATTAGTGGCACAACAGCTTTGCGAATACATCGGTAGCGTATTTTGTCTAAGGTTCTTACTGACCGGGTCACGTGAATCAGTGGGCGGAGCGATCCCTTCTCTGGCGTAATGTCAATTAAACAAAGAAGGATATAAATATATATTAACATATCAGTTACTTGCAAGTAAGTACATGTAATATGTTTATATAAAGGTATAAAAGGTAATAAAATTTAACATATAATGTACATATGTCAAATATGATCAATATCAGAGTGTTGAAGAGGTTAATATTCATTTGATAACGAAAATGAACAATAAACGAATTTTAATTGAAATATAACAAGTTAAATCAGTGTTATAAATTATTATTATTACTTGTAGTACATTTTAATACACATTTAAGTGTTCTGTCAACTCATTGTATAGAATACTGCATCGTCCAATGAATATAAATCAGATGCAATACAGGTTTATCCATGTGTAAAATGTTCCAATGTACAATTCTAACTATACAATATGTCTTGACTTGTGCAATCAGAAAGAAAACTGTCAATGTTTACGTGGCGCAATAGGTGGCATACAAGTAAATAAGTTGAAGTATTAGATCTATTAGCAAAAGTATTACATCTTAGATCTATTAGCAAAAGTATTAGATCAATTAGCAAAAGTATCAAATCAATTAGCAAAATTTTCATATAAATTAGAAAAAGTATCAGATTAATGAGCAAAAAGTATCAAACCCTTTAGCAAAAGTTTCATATAAATTAGAAAAAAGTATCAGATCAATAAGCAAAAAGTATCAAATCAATCATCAAAAGTTTCATATAAATAAGAAAAGTATCAGATCAATTAGCAAAAGTATCAAATCAGCTAGCAAAAGTTTCATATAAATTAGCAAAAGTATCACATCAATTAGCAAAAGTTTCATATAAATTAGAAAAAGTATCAGATCAATTAACAAAAGTATCAAATCAATTAGCAAAAGTATAAGATCATAATATTGTTATACAAATCTAAGTACACAATACATCTAACATGGCAAACAATTTATATTGAATAGTTTGAAAAGACAAGATTCAAACTAAGATTTATCTCTACTTACAATTTATGTCTATCATTATGCAAAGTGTAACATACATCAAGTTATCTAGTTTTATAATATTCAGTTTCGCACGCAATATTTACAAGGACGAAATTAAAACAAAACTAAAAGGAAACAAACGATAAGTATGATGTAACAAACTTACAAGCTCATGAGTAAATTTAGGTATTAGTGTATTATCTGAACACAGTTTTCCGTATATACAAATTTTTAACTGTGATTGACGGTTGATTAATTAACACTAATTGCTTGTGACAAAAATAACTGCCTAAACAACAACAACAACTACAACAACAACAACAACAAACGTGTTTTCCGCCTGTACTTTCTATATATTTCTCACAAGTATCATATTATTGTAGTCTTTTGAAAAAACATTGCATTTAACACATCACCACTCCCAGCAGCACGTACGTTTTAAATACTAATCAGAACTCCGGAAAAAATATTTGTACCAGACGAATTTTCCCAGAAGACAGTGCTGCCTGAAAAATTGCCGACTTTTATGCGCACTTGTTCATTTGTATCAAGTACCAAAACATCTACCATTCTTCGGCAAGCGCCGTTCATTTTACCTTCCATCCCTGTACATGTTATTTACTATCGTTCGACCTTGCACTAAAGTTAATTAAAACTCTCTTGTCGGGATGCACACATAATTGACACGTGAATAGATATAACCCTCTAGTTGCTGCTGTGTAGATGCCTGTTCTATTATCATAGCCGGCGTTCTTGTCGAAATGCGTTGTAGTAAATATCAATGTCTCACCTGTGCTGGGATTGAGATTCTTCAAATTACTGGCTCTGAAGGCAACCGCTGAAGCTGTAGTGTATGATGTTATGAAATTATCATAATAGTATAGTATACAAATAAAAGATCTTGCAGAATATAACATATGATTATAAGAACAAAAGTGCATATTGTGGGAGAAGTGAACCTTGAGACAATAGCTGCCTCTTTTAATTGTTCAAGTGAAACTCGGAAATGATTATCTTTAAATTTCCTTGTACATTTTATATTCAAATAACACGGTTTATTTATTTGAATCTACAATACATCATGCCAAATACCATTATAATTACTTTATCGATTGATGTAAGAGCATGTACATACGAAGAGCACTGCAGTTAAGAGCATAATTAATATGACATTGTTTAAATTAAAAATCGGACATTGTTTAAGACATAAATAAGAAGTTTGTATTGTCAAACAAGACATACAAATTGAAGCATTCTGATATGTTGTTGTCCTAAGTATGATAACATAAGCAAGAATGTATTTTTGACTTTATAGTTTTCTCTATGTTCCAAACAAATGCACGCACAGAGTACAATAAAATTGCTTACATAATAAACATTCAATTAATGACATTATGCACATATGCATGGGTCACATGATTTAAAATTGTAAAATAAATTGAAGAGAATTCCTCGTCACTTTATTTCTTGCAATTAAAGTGACATTCTGATATTTTTTCCATTGTTAGACTTAGCGGAATCGACTATTTATTTCAAAAAATTGAGTATTGTAATGGTAAATTGAGATCAGATTGAAAAATGCTAAGGGTAAAATAAAAAATCTGCCCCAAAAATTTGAACGTTATATGTAAATTCCGATGGATATTTACAGAATTTTTCTTGGACCAAGTGACTTTTTGCCGTTCATGTGAACTGAATTATAAAATTGAAAGGAATTATTGCAAAATGTAATCTTATTTTGACTTTCACCTGTTTACTCACTTTATACCCTAAGATGGGCATATTGTCACTTTAAAAAATAAAACTAAATAAATTTAAATAAACATGGAAATTCAATTTTATGAAGCAAAAATGTATGTTTCAAATAAGCTTGACAATTGAAAAAATATATATATAAAACTTTGATACGTTATTATTGTGTAAATAAAATTTACAGTTACTAGTTATAATGTTGCCCGTTGAGGATCGACACATGACATTGCGAAGTGACAAGCAACAATGCGATACGATGCCGGACAATGCGAAGTGACGCCCGTTAGTGATAAGCTCGACAATGCCAAGCGACATTTTGATAATATTGCTGAAACATACTGATAAAATAGCACTTTGAAGGGGGAGGACTCATTTGTACATAAACCCACTGACGTTTAGGGTCAGATCTTGCCCCCAACGTGATACACCCCTGTAAACACACTATTAAAAATATTTCAATATTTAAACACGAATTTGACATCTGTTACAACGATTTAACTGTTTTTCAATCATTTTTTTTACATATATGGGAAAAAAAACAAACAAAAAACGTAAACCATCAAGTTTCAATCAAGTAAAGATTGCAGACTCCAAAATGTTAAAACAAATAAAACCTTATAAATCATTATTTAATAAACTTTACCGTGAAATTTACGGTGTAAATCAAGAGACTATGAATTATCTTCTAAATGCAATCAGAATAAACATTTAAACATCGCATTTAATGATTTTAATATGAATATCAACTTTTGATTAAAATCGAAAGTAAATAAGCAATTAGAGAAGAATTTCCGGTGTACATGTTTTCGACTTCTCGAGCATTCTATCGTCATTTCCCGCGTGTTAGCTGTTTGCAAGCGCTCGGTGAAATGACATTTTATTTGTGATAAAATTATTACCAAGATGCACAGTGTGTTGTTTCCCTATTTGTTTTATTCTATATAATGTACGGTATAAATATTTGAATTTGGCGGTCTTATTGGGTCTCCCGAAAGTGACACTTTTAATACAAGTTTAGTCGTGAGGTAAATATAGTGTTGGGTCCCGGCTCAAAAAACGAAACAAGAGCGTGAACATAATATTATGCTAGGCTCAGGTCGCGAATTGGTTGGACGGTTTACATTTTGGAGTCTGTAATGTTTACTTTATTGAGACTGGATGGTTTACGGTATTTTTTCATATAGTTATGTAAAAATAGTTTGAAAACCAGATTTATCGTTGTAACAGATGTCCAATTCGTGTTTAAATATTAAAATATTTTTGACAGAGTGTTACAGGGGAATATCACGTTTGGGGCAGGATCTGACCCCCAAGCGTCTGTGCAAAAATCTTGTACATGTGCAGCTAATTTTGTATCGTTTAAAAACAGTAGTATACGTATAATGATAAAATAGTTCTGTGTTTTCTAAAATTTATGAAGAACTGAAGCATAGCACCTCAGTTTTACTTACAATTACTTTAGACTTTACAATATTTTGTTAATTTAAAACCGCAATGATTTTGCAATCATTCAAATACGACAAGACGAAATGATGGATTTTGTTTTGATGTGACGATAAAAATTTGGTTTTGTCGCACAATGATGTCTCGAATATGATTATTTCACACAGATAATTTAGTAACATTATACCCGGCTATCGCTTTTAGGGGCGTCCAAATGCAAATGTATAAACAGGGTGCGCATGTTTATTGAAAAAGTAACAACACTGAAATTTTGTTACTTTGTGTCTCAGTTGTCACATGAAAAACATTGCATTGCATTGAAGCCCATTTTAAAGCGACATCTCTAAACGACAATGCGGTTTTTCGTTTGGTTTTGTCGACTGTCATTCACATTGTCTAGCATTGTAGGGCATTGTCTAGAATAATCTTCGCATTGTCTTGTGATGACCTTTAAAAGTCACGGACGGCAAAATATATAGCAAAAATAGTACATCTTACAGAACAGTTAGTAAATAAACATACTATTAGGTAATTTAATTTCAAATATAAAAGCGTATTTTAGTAATTTACAAGTTTTTCACGACAAATAAAATATATCAAACCTTTTTCCGTTTTCTCTTTGCACTCTTTTTCATGCCTTTCCTCAAAATCTACAAGGTCGTTTTTGATTTTCTCCAAGTCTTCTTGATTTTTCTCCATTGCTGCTTTTGTGATTCCATCCCTTTCTGAAAGCTCAGACTTTAGCCTTTCAATAATGAATTCAGTTTTGATAATTTTTTCAAGAGTTCTTTCCTCGTAATGAAATTTTGAGCATTCAGGTTCACTCGAACAGAATGTCCAAAAAGAAATTAAAATAAAGTATATGCACGAATTCATTGTTGTTTCAGCTCAAGGGACTAAATAATTATTATTGACATCCATGTCTTTATATAAGCTGCGTCAAAAGCCTGTTATTATCTTCACAGTTATTTTTATGATATCATTATTCTTAATAAATAAAAGAGCGATAATGCCTTTATTGCATCAATTGATCTTTTTTGGGATAATCTTGAAATAATTTAATAACAGTTAAACACCTGCATTATCAATGTCTTAAAACCATTCTGAGAACACGTGCACGAGTTTGAATGGGAAGTAAAGATTTGATATTCGTGATGCTTCTATCTCAGTTAATCTTAAATTATTTTCTAGTCTGGTCCAGTATTGGTGTCATATGATGTAATATAATTATGACCTAAGGCCTAAAATAAAATTTAATATGTTTCCCCTTCCCTATCTACCCAACAAATTTGCCCCTACGCAAACGTTTTTTTCAGGTTCTTAGGGGATGAAAGTATTTTTTTCTTTCAGAGTACAATAGGTGCAACTTAATCTGATATCTAAGACAGCTAGCATAGTTAAATTATTGCATATGTCAGTTCTGAATATGGTAATGTATGTACGTATCTATTGCACTTAATAAATTAATTTTAATAGTTCATTAAACATATATTCAGTTATTTATTATTATGCACAAATAAAAAAAATCCTACCTACCTACTCAACACTAATTGTAATGGGTCGTAAAGGGGAAACTAACACATTTCTATTTTTGGCCTAAGTAGGACAAAAAAAACCCCTCGGGTTGAGAGGTTGGCATCGTAGACATCTTAACAGTCTACGTATTTGATATAAAACTGACACAAATGATATAGTAGTTTTATCTTATTCATCTCGTTGTCTGCGAAAAGTTGGTTTTACTTTACACCTTACAGATTAACTCAAGTGGATCAAGCGACAACTCATAGCAACTCTTCCTTGTATTTAGGTAAATATATAAACGATTGTATTAGATTTTCTTAAATTCAAAATTTCTTTTTCAAAGATAGGCTTATTGTTTCAGTAATCCTAATGATAAATGATTTCTTTGCAAGTTATACCCTTACAAAAAAGTACATTTAAATCACGAATAAAAAACTATATAACACACAAATATCCATTGAATATTTTATAGGTTTAAAGAAAAAAATTCTTGTAATTCTTTGTAATTTTGATGTTGTCTTGAAGTATATTTACAAATACAATCTGTCCCTGTGCAAAGTAAAAAATGGATTTTCGTACGAAAACACAACAAAAAAGCAAAAAAAAATAAAATAAATAAAACAACAAAAACTCCATTTTTTTAAAATTTTTGAATATTCAGGTAAAACGAACGTCATGTTTGATTCAGTGTTGATCTATTTTGTTTGTAAAATTACTAGATATTTCATTAATAGTACAAAACCACTTATATTAATCTAAGATCTAACAAATCATTGTTTTTGCGATGCATGAGAACCTAGACATCTTTATTCTACCAATAACGATCGCTATTTCATGGAATGAGAAGATCCTTCAAAGTTATAACCACAAACTTCAGATTTATCAATTTCAGACAAACAACAGATACTTTACTTCCTTACGAGATAGGGCCTAAGTACATACATGTATTATTAAACTACGATAACATTAAACTAATACACAGTAAAACTCTCAAAGCTATACGCTGCGCGTGGCTTTGTTGTGATCCTAAGAATTTCTACAAATATTGTTTAACGTGATCATTCCCAGTAACCAAATTATCAAGGAGTTGTGTGTTTCAAATCATTTCATTTTCATAGTTGTTTTAGTTGGTAATATATCGAATGAATCTAATGTTGGTTTTTGAATACATTCGTCTATGATGACAGATCTGTTTTGTCGAATACTTTCCCTAATTTGAGGTAGTACAATTAAATTCATGTGTATATTTTGTGTACTCTTTCGCAGTCATGTCATGGAAATTAATAAAACTAAATTCAGGAATCAAAAAATACAAGTTGAACATTATAACTATCAGATATAAAATTTAAACCAGCAATAACGATAAAACCTCTTCAAATTAAACCTATCAAAATTGTGATGACTCACAAAATTTTAAAAGAACTACTACCACAGGGTAAGGTCTCAATCCGTACTGAGGTAACACGGATGCGGACATGCACTATAACTTGTACGAATTGCGTTTTAAGTAAAATATTTTAGAAACCGGATATAATTGCATATCTTCCGCCTCATATCATAGATTAAATTATTGTCCACATCAACCGGTAACAGATAGACAAATGCAAACAATTACGGATACGTTGGATCCCTGAAATATGGAACAGCTACTTTTATTTGTATGTTTCTACATAAATTTAGGTAAGAACCATTAGCATAACATAATGTTATTTTTTTCAATATTACATATTTACATTTATGAATGTTAAATGCTTAAATGCTTGTACAGTTTAAAGCTACGTACGTACATGCCTCCAGATGAGTCAAAATATTTTAATTAAATCTAACTTGAGAAAAATGTACTAAGATCTAAGGAAAATTAAAATGTTTCAAGATTTAAATACTAGTTTACATATTATGTGAGATAAATGACTGATTTTTAGTATTTACAACTATATTTCTACTGCGTTACTAACGCAGTAAAGGCTATTTATGCATATTTTGATCATATTTTGATAATTTACGTGGTTTGTAAGTGCCATTGATAATGTGTAAATTGCTTCCTTTTGGTTACTTCACATTATTACACATTCAAAAACATTTTCAAAATATTCATGAAAATTAGCATTTATCTGGAGGCGTGCTGCTTTAATAATTTGTGATAGTTGTATTGCTTTCAAATGGATGTTTTGTTTTTATATAATACTATATTTTTGTATTTCAATATAATTTAACGAAGTTATTTCAATGTATGCGATAAAAATATACTTTTGCAGGGAGATAATAACACGATTAAATTCAAGATGATTCACTTCATGAAACAAATACACAATCATGTAGGTGAACTCAGTTTTTGTCAAATAATGATACATTGTAATCGTTGTTACAATATCAAACAATTGTGAACAAATAATCATAAAACATTTGTCATAGTAAGATGCAACTGGTATTGTAGTAATTCTAATGATTGTAGTAAATGATCTGTTTTAACATTATTTAGAGAATATACACAATAATTGTTTAACGAAGTACATTAAAGTATTATTGTGTCTAAAAATGTTATGTATTGCTAATATACGGAAATGGAAGTGAGACTGAAGGCCTTTACCTAGTCATTTGGAAAAAAGTACCTAGCAAAGATCGGAAATTTTGGGTCATAAAATTGCTTAATTCGGAAAAATATTTATTAATAGTTATTTTTTGAAACCTCCTTTATGCTCTATGGCATAGTTGTTTGCATTGCTATTATTGTGTATTCCAATTAATGTAATTAGCATTCAAAACTTAAAAATACATTAAAAAATTGAGAATCAAATGTGCGGAATTATCATTATGTCTGATAGCATACTGGAATAATCAGCAAATTTGTCGGGAATTTCAACTAAATTGGGATTTCTTTACAGATTGGGAAAAATAAGCATATTTGTCAATGGGGATGGGTCTGGTTATCTGACCCTTGATGACACTTGGAAAAGGCCTGGAATGGAAAATTTATATAACAGTGAATCGAAATTTGACGTGACTTTATTTTGTTTCATCAAATAAGAGAGTATTTAATGAAAATGATATTTGAACTATTTGTTTTATGTACTGAAATGAGAAAGTCAAGTCTCATTTGAATATTGTAAATAGTTACAGGAATACCGAATTGTGAAGTTATCCTATCAGCATCAACGACGGATCTTATCGACGAGGAACAACCTCTTACTCTCACCTGTTTCATTACGCTTAATGTTGATCAGATTGAATGGACAATTGACGGTTATACAGTAACTTTGAATGAAACTCAATGTGGAAACACATGCATGTTTAATATTCCCGGATTGGACGTTGATCATAACTTTATATTTAATTCGATTAACACAATAACCATGAGTTATTTCAACATTGCTAGTGTACCACTGTCCATTAACGGAACGGTTGTATCATGTGCGGCAAAGTCAAGCATTTGTCCTAGTTCCAGTCAAAATTACACGTTTATGGTCAGAAGTAAGTTGATATTTAATCAATTTAAACTTATTTTTATTTAGCAAATGTACAAACATGTATCATTTCACATCACAATATACATTGTATAAGGATTGAAAAAAAGCATAATACTTACGTAAATTCATTTCCATAACTTTCACATAGTGTTTTGTCTACAATATTGCAAATATCACAAATCATAAAAAGTACGGAATTAACGTTATCATTATTTGATTATACTTATTAATAATCAAAAAAGTAACGCAAGACCCCTAAAAACTCAAACTTTATTGCATGATTTGGCTTAAAGTGATAACAATCGATCGTCACTGTGTGCATGATTTCTCAAATTGCTCAGCCGCTTGATGTACCGAGCAGCACCGAGAAAGTGTAAAATTAATGTTTGTTAGCATTTTAAACGTGCAGATGTTGGTCAACACATTTTGTAATACTATCCAATACTGCTTGCAATCTTGAGAGGGGTAGTTCTTGGGGCGGCTTGGTAATTGTCTTGGGAGGGATAATGCAAGAAGCACCATTAATTGGGATAGATTTGAATTAAATTGCCGATGAAATTGTCAGGTTTGTTGAAGTCCTAAATGTGCAAGAGAATAACACTATACTTTAGCATAACAATGAAGTAGAGGTTGTCGAGACATTCTGGGAAACTTTAACCTTAACTCATTCGACTGGTCCTGTGCAGTCCGTATTTGCCCAAATTAAACATGTAAGGGATATTCTGGATAGGAGGGTATAAAGAGGTCAGAATCTATTTGTTACTCAAGATAAACGAAATATGCCCAAATTACTCTTGAATCCCGGATTAGAATCTATTAAGTGTGTGTAATCTTTTAAAGACTAGTTGTTATACTGATATGAACTTTTCTAAAGAGCATTCAAATGTTTATAAAGTTATAGACACAGAACAGTCACACTGCATTTCTTATTTGGTTCAGTAAAATAATAGAATTACAAAACTCAAATAGTGCCAGTATTCTATTTTCTGAATGAGTATATCTCGTAGAAATAACGAGATACCCAGTCGTACCAACAAAAGAAATTACCTCCAAATCGCGACTAACTATATAGTCAGTATTAGGTTCTCGTTATTGCAGCATAATATGTCTCGTAAGTACGAAATATTTCCTTGCAATAACGAGATACAAATCTCGTGACTACAATAACGAGATAAAAATATCTGTATCTTTTCGTTATTACGACACAGTATTTCGTAATGATAAGTTTATAATTATGTCGAAAAAATCATATAATTATTTAGTTAGTATGAGATAATCATATTGTAATTACGAGATACTTATATCGTAATAACCAAGAAAATAAATGTCTCTTTTCTATACATAAATATGAGTAATACGTACTTTTTGACTTCGAGATTATATATTAATCTACCAATGTGTTGCTATGTTCAAATGTGTAAGTCTAAGCCCTACTCGTGTCATGATTTTGTTTCCCAAAATGACGAAGTACTGGATGATTCCATAAAGCGGAATTAAAAGACGGTTTAATAACAGTTTTCCACAATCGATTTACAACTACTATATTTAACATGCTTATGTGGAAACAACATTTGCAAAATCTTCGAATAAGAGACTTGCGAAATGTTCGTAAATAAAATGGCTTGAGCAACATAATCATTCTTATTTTATTGCCTGCAAACGAATAAAAACATTTGTTTGTGCCCGAGGAAGATATTTTTAAATATGTATATATGCAAATGCGAGTTTTATTTCTCTATGTATAGACGATATGGAAAGCCTCGAAATTGCCCCGCCCATTAACTTTGGTCCCACTTTATATCACTCATTTGTTATTTGTCTTTCCATTTTTAAGTAAGAAAAAACATTATGATGATCAAATAATGTGAATATATGTGCTTGCTCTCGTATTTTATGAAAACCCGTTTTTCTTTCCTTAAGACATCCGCATCGAATATATCCAATCGTCACAAAGTCCTATTTTTCAATATGTGTCAATAATTACTCAAAACTCATATTTTATCTTTGCTGATAACAATTGTTCCTAATATTTCTTTCCCCACTATTTAAAATGTTTCCAGTGGTGAAGAACTATATGTGCGTGTTGGCCGTTATCGCGGATCTCTGTCATTGGCATCAAGGTCATCAGGTTAAAAATTAAGTGTTACGGCTTTTGCTTATATAGCTTTAATTTTCTTTAATGGACAAGTTTTTTTTTCATGTAGCTTCCTTGCATAGTCATGTACACTTACACAAGAAATGGATGAAGGCATTTTCCATACTTAGATACTAGATATATACTGCCATCATATTTGTAATAAATGTAATTTAAATAGATACCTATCTTTATGAATTTATTTTTATATCGTAATAATAAGAAAATCATCTCGTACTTAGTCTACAAGATGCTTAGTCGATTTATCCTTTTCAAACATAGAAGTGAACAAAATTTATTTTGAAACTCACTTTTATAATAAATTTATCAAACATCGTTGCTATGTAACAAGATGATTTTATTGTTTTTGATGTTCACCAGAAAAAGTAAATGATACGACAGTTAAACATACCTCGAAAGCGACAGTGCAAACTTCAACGTTTCTGAACCAAGGAACCATACTATATCCCAACAAAACAAGCAGTGGCTCAACTATGTTACCACATATCAAACTGTCAACTGCTACTTCAAAGCTCCCTAAAACTTTAGAACTCTTAAGTTTGTCTACACAAGCAAGTGATGTAAAGACTGGTGCTATTGTAAAAGAAACCACCACTGAATATATAGAAACAGATAATAATAAAACTACACTTTCTAAAGATTTAACAACAAATCATACATCGAAAAATTATACTCATCCAACATCATATCACACAGTCTACAGTACTGTTAAAGCGAAAATAACCGATGATGTAAATGTATTAAGAGATATTTCAATTTCAACTTCACAAGTTGCCTATGAAGAGATAACCACACGCGTAGTTGGCACCATGTCTCTTGAAAATCATACAGCTACGTCTCCATGGTCTCATGAAGAAAATAAAGCTGTGTATACAACTGCAGAAGCATTGAAATCGTTGCCGGATACTGTTATGATAACAGATAATACTGAAAAATTTGTAAACAGCAAAGGCTCTCGTGATACAACAATGGAAACAACTACAATTCAACCAACAACACATGAAACTACATACAGTACTACACATGTGAAAACAACCGATGGAATGTATGCGTTGACGAATCTCTCAATGTCAATTTCACAAGCTGCCTATGAAGATAGAACCACTACCGTCATGAGCCGCCCGTCTCGCCGAAAGCATGAGACGACGACTTATGAAGATATTGCTGCCGTTACAAACGAATTTGCTACAAACGCTATCACAAATACCATGCATTTAATTGGCTCCACAATAAATTCAACAGCATCAACCAGAAATGACACTAATACAAAACAAATATTCAACTCATATCTCACAACATTAAATATTACAAAAAGCACCTTGTATTACTCCTCGGATTTATTGACAAATACAGCTGGTCCAAATGATGGGACATTTGCTACTGATACACCTTTACGTAAAGAACAGGAGACAAAAATTGACGATGATGTAACAACAATAAACCATAAAGTGGATGCTTTTCACTCTAAAGCACCAAGTAGCACAGCATCCGCGGACCATTTTTCTCAATCAAAATCGTCCGATTTTATATCCTCAACTATCTCAAATATAATTTCGGATGCCGATATTTCTTATGCAACTACAGAAGAGATGAAAACATTCCAAAACACAGTTCTACCAGATACTTCCGAAACCTTATCAAACGTCAAAAGGTCTTATAAGACAAAAATTAAAGAGACCACCGCTCAACCAACAAGACATGAAACCACAAACATTACCATAAATTTAGAAACAAACAATAATACACATGCATTTAAAAATAACTCATTGACAACTTCCCGCTTTGGCTTTAAAGAAACCACAACAAAATATTTAAGCCCATCCGGCTTAGGTGGTGGAACAACGTATAATACTGCTGATATGACGAAGTCAATAAATGGAACAATAAAGCACTTTAATAAAAATACATCAGTTGAGAAAACAACACAACACAGAGAAAAAGAAGATGATAATTACAAGATAACTACCGGGCCTGACTTTCAAGTGATAACAAGTTCAGATCCGTCTAATTCTTTACAAGATTCAACATCTTTTAAATTAACAACTTCTACTGGCATAAACATTCAAAATACAAAGGAACAAGCAAACGGAAAAACAGACCGCACAACAAATTTGGCAAGGAAAGCTAGTAAAGTCTTTGCAACTGGTGTATCAAAGGACTATCACGTGTCGCAATTTTCTGTAGTACCATCTACGAGCGCAAATCTTTCAGGTAAATATAAATATTCTCATAAGCTTTTACCTTTTAACAAAGGTGCTTAAGATCGTGAAGGGAAAATGTACAACTTAGATGGTTACATAAACTTATTAACAACTAATAAAAAAAAACCATCGTTAAAGGAAAGTCGTAAGATGTCCTTAATCAATCAGCTAAGATACATCGTCGATAAAGTGTTACTATATTTGATAAAAAACATATCATAGTGAAAACAAATTATTAATTGTTTACATGTATTCTGTTCAGTTTGTATCAATATAAGATATATATGAATACATACATTCTTGTAATTACATCGAACTAATAATTTACATTTTGAATAGATACGACATACTATAACAGTCGCCTAGAGTAAGTGTATTTCAGAATTTTAAGAGGTGCACCAATAATGATACTTGGCTAATTTTGATATATTTTTGCGTGCATTCAGGCAACAAACAAGTGTTTTGCACAAATAATATTGATAGTAGAGGGACAGTATGGAACGTCACCGTTGCAGGGACAACAGTTTCATTTCCATGTTCAAATATCGATGCAGGTACTATTATATCTAACATAAACTCTTCATATATTATACCGTTAAAAATTTCAAATTCCTTTTAATTGTGATTTACTGAACTGTAATATCTGATCTGCTGGTGATTCATAGAGAACATTGTAATTATGTAAAAAAATACATTGCTGTCAAAGGAAGAGGTAACCTTGTAATAGAGTTTCCTTGACCTGGTTTCCATAAATTTTGCTCTCCACTGCGTTTCCCGACATTCTCCAACCTCAATCGCGTGTTTTTCTTTTTTTTCAATCGCGTTTTTTCAAATCCGTGTTTCGTTTTACATTCGACCTTGTTTCCTCCTTTCCCGACCATAATTCTTCCTACCTTTGACTGTGTTTCCTGCTACCCTCAACAGTGTTTTTTCTACCTTTGATCGTGTTTTCTTCTCCCTTCGACCGTGTTTCCTCTTACTTTCGACCATGCTCCTTCTACCCTCGACCATGTTTCTTCCTTCCTTCGACCATGCTTCTTCTACCTTCGATCGTGTTTCCTAATACCCTCGATAGTGTTTTTTTCTACCCTCGATCGTTTTTCCTTCTCCCTTCAACCCTGTTTCCTCATACCTTCGACCATAATTCTTTCTACCCTCGACCGTGTTTCCTACTACCCTCGATAGTGTTTTTTTCTACCTTCGATCGTTTTTCCTTCTCCCTTCGACCATGTTTCTTTCTTCCTTTGACCTTGTTTCCTACTACTCTCTATGGTGTTTTTTTCTACCTTCGATCGTTTTTACTTCTCCTTCGACAATGTTTCCTCCTACCCTCTACCATGATTCTTCTACCCTCGACCGTGCTTCTTCCTACTTTTGACCATGCTTCTTCTCCCTTCGAACGTGTTTCCTACAACCATCAACAGTGTTTTTCCTACCTTCGATCGTTTTTCCTTTTTCCTCCGACCATGTTTCTTCCACCTTCAATGGTGTTTCCTACTACCCTACCCATTGACCGTGTTTCTCCCTACCTTTGGCCGTGTTTCTACCTACCCTCGACCGTGCTCCCCCTCCTTTTGATCGTGTTTCCTCTGAAGTACGACACTTGTATCGATAAGTTCATTAAAAAGGCTAGATAATGATTCAAACAAAACTACATGCTTTTGTTTCAGTATGAGGAAAATATTTTTATTGAAACAGTTTTACTTAATTATTTTAGGGTTATATAAGACATGTATAGATTTAGATAATTAATAATCGACTTATTTCATGTCAACTTTGTAAAACAGTTATTAGTGTATTTTAGAATTTTAAGAGGTGCACCAGTAATGGTAATTGGCTATTTTTGATATTTTTTGCGTGCATTCAGGCAACAAACAAACAAACACAGGGTCGAAGGAGAAGGAAAATATGCTTTCATTAACATTTCTTCATATATGATAAATTAAAAAAAATATTGATCTTCTTTAGAACTTTCTGGCAACATCTATCGAGAGTGTAAAGCTAGTGGTACGTGGATTATACCTAAATACGACTGTGTGCATAAGGATATTAAGAATTTGGTATGACAATTTAAATCTAACATTGTTGTAGCTGAAGAAGCCGATATTAGCAACAATACTTGTGTGCGGGATAAGATTAACGGAAATTCATCTTACCTCACTTAAAAAAATTAATCAATTTAGACATATTACTTGCTGTCTTTGGTATACATTTATTTTCGTATTTTGTAAATGTTTCGGATTTTAGTCTTATGTGTTCTTTATTAAGATTGTATGCTTTATATGAACGCAGATACAATATGACCGGTTGTTTTATGGGTACATTATGAGCAAAATCCAGACTTTAAACGATAAATGAATATAGATTAAAGCAAGAAATCCCTGAATTCCTCAAGTTACACATATTTTAGAATATGTTTCTTTCATGAACAAGGGTTATGTTTATATAATACTTATTTAACTAAACAATAGGAAGGCCTACTTGGGTCCAGCTCAACAGATGCTATGACAAATACTATCTTGGACACATTGGCGACATTAACAACACCAGGAGAGGGCAGTGGCAGTCTGTATAGTGGTGACATCGAATCGATAACCAATGTGTTAGAAGATATTGCCAACAATCAAAACTTAAAAGTTACGGATGATCAAGCTAAAGTAAGTCTTGATTGAAAGAACGTTCGGTGGGTTTTCCATAAGCGAAACACTTTAGAAAGGTTAAAGTCAAAGTCAATGAAAATACGTTTAACACTCTATTATTTTGTTCTAGATTTCTAAAATCTTTTTATTTTATGCTTTTGAGTGGATTACTGATTTATCAGTGAAAATTATGTTTGATAATTTCACAGTGAAAATTATCTTAAATTATAATTTAAAAAACTGTTTTTAAAGCTCACGTGATGAAATAGAATTTCATCTTTCACACAAACAATCAAATATCCTCTTTATATCAAATGTACATATTTGTTATTTGATTATAATATTTTTACGTCCGCCTAATTCTTGTGATGATAATTAAGTGACTTTTCGCGAAACAGTTTCATGCTGTTAGTTTTAAATATCTAAAACGTCTTATGTTTCAGACATTTTTGACGACTGTGGGTAATATTCTAGATTCAAGCACTAGGGATGTATGGAAAGAAATTAATCAAAACAATCGGGACACAAAGGTTTATTTCTCTACATATACGTGTACAATTTAACTTCGAAGCAAAAAAGACATACTTTTGAATGTTTATGATTTGTTGATTTGATTTGATTTTCTTTAGACCAGGCGGTCAAGGATAACCCGAGAAAGTGCAAGAAAAATACATTTGGATGTTTCAAAATTTCGTTATATAAAAGGATTATATCAGCATATTTCCAGAGAGTGGTTAATAATATACTCTCAATCAGAGCAAAGTCTTTTGAAAAAAACACTCTCAAATGGATATTTATAAATTTTAAGAGAAAGTAAACGTTAACATTTTTTTTATTTGATCCACACACATAAATGAATATCATATTATCAATTCCCATATATAGGTGATTATTTCATTTATCCATGTTAATAAACTGAATCTTTAAGATCGTATTGTTTAAAATTCATCAGATTCTTTTAAATAAACGCATAAAATGGTTTGTCACTCGACGAATTTTGCCGTTTCCCCATCATTTCTAAATTGATCATAATTATCATGTTACAAAATAATCTTACATTCAAAATGAGCTTTTAAACTGTAAGATTGTATTGTTCGCTATATAAGATTAATTTCATGTATGAGTATTACGTGTAATATTTTCTTCCATGATTCATGTTTTGAAAAAAAAATCATTTTCTTCCATGATTCATGTTTTTAAAAAAAAACAACAAAAAACAAAAACAAAAACAAAAAACAAAACAAAACAAAAACAAGAAAAAACAAAACACAAAAAAATAATAAACAAACAACAACAACATTTAATTTGAAAATGAATTATATTTCAGGAAGCTTCCAGTGCATTGAGACTCCTAAATGTATTTGATACTTATGTAGATGCATTTGCTAATTCATTGCCTGAGACAAGGGATAACAAAACATTTTCTGTTTCTAATATATGTAAGAAAAATATTTATCTTCTTGCTACATATTTTTAACTGATTTTTTCATGCCATTAGGTAAACATGTAAACCAATAATTTGTGTTATAGTGTAAAAAGACATAAAAATGAAAAGCATTTTATTCAAATTGGCTAAGAATCGTAAAAGAAATCGATTTCAATTTAATTTTGAGTATTTTTCCACCCTTTTAGGCCTCAAATAGTGATAAAATGCCATATTTAGACACTTGTTTTCGTTTGAGAAATGTTGTTTAAAAGTGATCACTTTTTCGGCGCAATCGCTTACGAAATAGATATATATCCAAGGGGTGCCAGAGGATGATGTGCCCCCTTCTGTTTTGGCGGTTAAAAGAGGGTCAACAGACCCCCTCATCTCCAAGAAAGTTTTGGACATGTGAGAGGCTTAAATTTATCTTAGAGTATATCTTTGACTATATCTCAATTCATTGAGAAGTTGCAGCAGTTTGAAATCAATTTTAATGGAAAAATCAACTCAAAATAGTAATTTTGGTAATTTTGAGATGTCCCCCCTGTTGCCATAAAAACAGGAATTCTTAGATTGAGCATGCTGTTACAAAAGCTATTGTCCGGTCAACATTTGTGCCAAGTTTGATCAGTATTAAGCATTTTTATAGTTTCATAGCAGTTTGAACTTGTAACAGGAGGCTTTTGAATGAAAACAGCTATTTTTTACAATAGGCTCATGCAGTAAAAGGTTAATTTAATTTTTACCATTAAGTACTTCAGGTTAGAAGAGTCAATAACTTCACTAGTATAGCATTTCCAGAAGGTGATATTGGTGGAAATGGACAGAAATCAAAGAGCAGATCATCGTTGTCGATTTCACAAGACTCACTAAAAGGTAAAGTGATTGCAAATTTAAGTTTTGTTTTGAAATCAGTTTTATTACACCACATTCATGGTTTCGTTAGAATATTTTGCCATTAATGTAAATAAAATAGTTTTAAAATACCAAAATGTTTTAATATTTGTTTGCCGGTTTCATTTTAATAGATAATCAAGTATTTATATGTTCACATCTAGGAGACTTCGAGTTTCATTATTGGTACATAGCATTTTATATTTCTTTCTAGGTATTTTATCTGTCAGTTCCAAAAAGACATTAAGACTTTAGTGCTTCTACTTCAAAAGATATTCGTTAAGATGAGGAAAAATATCAGTCAAAGAAAATAAAATGTTATTTTATGGCTTATGATATCTTTAGTATGAAACTTTGTTTCTTATCTTTAAGGCTCAACGATATTTGCAGCTGTTCTTTATGAAAATCTTCTTGGAATATTGCCTATCAAAGCATCATTTGACAAGTACGTGTATACAGCAATGTCTTATAATTTACGCATTTTTTCCTGTTTCGTTTTTTTATCTTTTGTTCAAACTGCTATACTTTAAAAAAGTCATTAAATTATAATTTGTACGCTAATGCTAAGCAAGTAAGACTACTCATTAAATTCAAGGTTTTACCCTATTGATAAACCAGTAAGACGAATTTTTGATATGAGAATAAGTATTGTTTACATTTCCTTTTGGCCCCGGAATGGAAATCACACATACATTTTAGTAGAAATAACTTTGTAATTGTGGATCAGTTTTTCTAATGACAGACCAAATAAGATATATGTGTGTGTTGACACTAACTCTAAAGATTTGGCTAATGGGTATGTCCATGATTACTTTATTTTTTTACCCGCTATACAATTAAAAATACAAGTGGAAACGAGATGCTTTGTTTACCTACGAAACTGTTTTATGCATATTCTGTGTACTTTCAGAAGAGCAACACTTGATTCTTCTGTTATTACAGCAAAGCTGAATAATTGGAAAGCAAACACAAATTTTAAAATAACTATTGTATTTGAACGTTTAAAGGTATTTCAAGATATAGATTACGTTAAATTACAGATTAATGTTTATATATTACGTTTATTTTTTTTCTTTAAAAAAGTTAGCTTTAAAGACAATTAGAACGTCGCAATTTTGTATCATATGAGACCAGTGCAGGCTCTTGTTCATGGTCTCCATTGTTCGTAATTTTTCATAACACGATAAATAGTTTGTTCAAGATTAAAGAAGGACAAGTCCATTAAAGACTTAGCGTTGTAAGGGTTAATGACAAAAGATTTACAAAAAATGTTTTTATTTTTGCAGATAAATAGTTCAAAGGCGATATGCAGTTTTCGAAATGAAAATAGGTAATTACCCTAGTTACAATAATCATTTTCGCATACTTGATACTCAGGTATCATTTCCGGACACGATGGTTTAAGCTTTATATTTAGCAAATAATGTTAAAGCAGCATGCCTCCAGATTCATGCTAATTATCAAAAAAAAATGAAAATGTATTTAAAAGTAATATATTGTGAAGAGAACAAGAAAGTAATTTACACATTGCAAACGGCACTTACAATCCACGTAAAGTACGAAAAAAGAAGTCAACATATACATAAATACCTCTTACTGCGTTAGTGACGCAGTAGAATTATAGTGATTGATACTACAAAATCAGTCATTAATCGCACATAACATGTAAATGATTAATTATATATTGAATCTTTTTACTTTGCTTAAGATCTTAATTCCTTTAAATATTTTGGCTTATCTGGAGGCGTGCAGCTTTAAAAGAAGGCTAACAGGTTAATAAATGTCTTGCTCTCATAAATAACAGGGTATTAATGATGTTTCATTTTTATCCTAATAAAATATTTTACTGTTGGAAACAATTGTTGTTACATCACATGTTTAAAAGTCAACAAAAGTCTTCATCGCAATTAAAAAATTACATTGATAATGATAATCGATAATGTAATATACTCGTGAAAATTCGAAAAGGTATTGTTTTTTTATTTAAATCATAAATCACTGTGTTAGGGTTGGGCTTACAAGTGAGTAAGTCTTTTCAAATAACAAATTATCCATTTCGACAATACCAATATGAAATAATCGGAAACATTTTACGTAAAACATACACAAGTTCATCATAATATTTTAACACTTCAACACCTGTTGTTTAAAATAAAAAGAATAACATACATAGAAAAAACCTAAGAAATTAAATTTGAAGACTAAGTTACTATTTATCATTTATTTCAGAATATTCTTTTTAAAATAACGTTAAGTTATTTAAGTACTTTGATTTGTTTAGTGTCCTGTGGGAGAATGAGGGATGTTACATGGTGTCATCAAATTCCACAACGATTGTTTGTGAATGTAACCATCTTACCAACTTTGCTATTTTAATGAGCCCCTGGACAGAGGTAACTTCTAAAAATTGGTTTTTGTAATGTTATTGTCAAAGTCTTAAAATATATTTGAGAATTATTTCATTTCCCTCAATACATATAGAGATCATAAAAGTTCAGAAGCATGGAGGGAAAATGATGAATGCCTTTCTTTCTTTCTTTCTTTAATAAGAAAAAAGAAGAAAAATAACTTCCGTAATGAGTGTATTTCATATACACATCTATGAATGAAGTTCAAGAAAATGTTACGGAATAAGCGTCGATGAGCGCATGGCGATTCTTATATATAAATTTTAGAAAAACTGTTAGAAAGTTAAAATGTTAATATTATTTTACATTATTAACATTATTATAACGAAAATGTGAAATACTGTCAACTTTATTTTAATTTCATGAGTAAATATAGCTTATGCATTCGAACAGTATGCTTTTCTGACAAATCTTTTTAAAAAAAATGAAAGCTGCATTAATAGATACATAGTTATTATAATAAAGTAGGTTACCAATTACTTTAAAAGTCCCCATTATGCTGACTGAAATACAAATAGTTGTGAGAAATACAAATTTAAAGTCACCTAAACAGCAAGAGTATACATTAACTGTTATGAAGTGTCGGTTGAAACGGTAGCAAACACTTGATTGATATTTCCCTCTGTCTTATTATTCTATTTAAACAGTAACCGTTTGATTGTTTGTTGGGGTTAAGTCACACCGACAGTGTAAAGGTCATAATTATAAAGCCAGTTTTACTAATAGATACAGACCTTAGGTGCCCTCCGTTTCATTACAACAGGCACGAGCGGGCACCTGAGTAGAACCACCGACGTTCCGTAAGCACCAACAAAGAATCAAAGTTCCTGGTGGTATTTTATATTCAGCGCGGTGCCGGACAAGTGGTTTGACCTTACCCACTCTGCCATTATTATAGATACCCACAGTTATTTATAAAATGATTTTCTTCCGCCCCTACAGGATAATGTACAGGATCCTGCTTTAGACTATATTACCATAATTTGCTGCTCCGTGTCTTCTTTATGCTTGGTGCTCACGATGGTCATGCATTTCATATTTTGGAGGTATTTATAATTTTCATACCATGCAATGTCACAAATTACATATTAGACAATAATCATAAACGTAAATTACAAATGAAAAATATTCTAATGACAATTAAATATTGTCAATTTATCTGATGACTTACCATTTATTTTAGCGATAAAAATCATTAGTCTAACGTTTAAATGGTGAAATGATTGGTTTATATTGAAATAAAATACAGAAATATGTTAAATTGTTAGAGATTTTTTAATAAAAACGTGTTATGTCATAAAACACAAATCTTGTTTGTATTAGTAAATCAGCTTCATCTGTGAAAAAGAGAAAATAAGAATTGCCAAAAAGAAAGTCCAAAGCGACAAAGTTGAAAATGTTGCAGGCTCAGTTTGATTGAGCCTGTTCATGGACTGTACTATCAAGTGCAAACTACCGTCCACGCCCGCTAGCACCGGCCTAAGCAGAATTCAACATTTATACATGAAATGGTAAAAATTTGAATTTTGAAACATCCCCGCAGATGTGTTCATACGGCGGTTATCATGGAACATTCAATGTGACACTGTAGTGCTATTCCATGAAAAGCGGCGTATGGTCCCTAAATAATAGAAGTAATAATATGAGCTAAAGACAATTTGATCTTTATTCATCTGTCTGTTTTATCATACATATATACACATACAGATATATAAGATCCATGCGTTTTACTTAAGATATTTGAAATCAATTCAGGCGTGTGAAGACAAAAAGAGTTAAGATACTTATGAATCTGTGTGTAGCTCTGGTGATTTCATATGTCACTTTCCTCGTTGGCGTAGATAGAACAGAAGATGAGGTACGGGATTATTAAAACTTATTTCCAAGTTTCCTAGCTAGTCTTTTTATTTTACACATTTCTCAAATTCTCTTTTTTTTTCATAAATTATATAAAATATTATATAAATATATAAATTGCATAAAAAGTTTAAAAGTGAAATTTCTTGGATTATTTTCTATCTTGAATATATAGACACAATAAAACTGCGTATTGTTTGAACTTGATTAGCATTTAGATGTTTTATATTTCAGAAGGGCTGTGCTGCAGTTGCAGCCTTGCTTCATTATATCTACCTGGTCGTGTTTTCCTTTATGTTGGCAGAGGGGATAGAGATTTTCTTTGCTCTCGTCTATGTGTTTTCAAATAAACACAAAACAAAATGGATAATACCCGTTGCTTGGCGTAAGTATTAATTTACTCACATGGACCATGTAGAAATTTACTTTTCTCTAGTCTATATAGTGTCAACAAAACCAAAACTGAATGGATCTTTCTGACCGCGTAGGAGTAAGTATAAATTATTTTACATCAGCGTCGATAACTTAATAATACCGACAACAATCTGACTAAAGTTCAGATCTACTTATTTCTTTTATGTAGATCTAATGACGACCGTATATGTTTTGCCATCTTTATTATTCGGATTTTCCGAGAAAGCTAATTTTAGCCATGCAGTCAAACTGGTTTTTACATAGGCATTAGAAAAAGTATCAAAATACCGTTATCCGTTAAAGTTAATCAAATTGCTGATTTTTGTTAGAAAAAAAAATATTTGAAGTTATTTTGAACAAGTAAAATAAATGTTTGAAGTAATTACTAACACATTATCTTGAAATAGATCTAATACAATTTTAATGGGCAAGATTGTTTTGTCAGTTTACCTGTCGGGTATATGGACAACGGCATATTTGTTCTCGAAATCGTGAGAATTACCTACTCACTACTGGTTTTCCCTGAGTTAAAAAAAGAAACTTCATCGCATTCAAAATTGTGAAAGCTCATAGATGATTGGCTGTGTGAAAGGTAAACAGAAATAATTTCGTATTTGGTCACGGTTAGATCTAAAACCGGAGCGTATTTAGAGCTGATTTTAATCAGATTGATACTGACAATGTATGAAATTCATTATAAGTTTTCACACATAATGGTTGAACATACCAAATATACTTTGTTTCAGTATTACCAGCGGTTATAGTTGGCATTTCACTTGCAGTAACGAGGATTCACGGCTATGGGGACAAAAACAAGTTTGTATATTTTTGTAACAACTAAGCTAACAATATGCTTACTTTTCACATAGGTATAATCATAATACATAATTGATATACAAATAAACGAAGACACTCTTGAATGGGCATCGATTTAAACCTTGTTGTTATGTCCGAAAAAAAACACTAAAATTACAGCACTAAAGGAAATGCTGGTAGTTTTATACTTATTTATTGATTTTATAACAGTTACTTTTAATTTTATCATTAAAGTATATTACATCAAAACCTGATACCTTTCACATTTCCATTTTTGTGTGTCATTTTTGCAACACTTGTTTTTAGGTGTTGGCTTTCATTTGACAAAGGTTTAATTTGGGCTTTTGTTGGACCCGCAACTGTCATTATTCTAGTAAGTTCTTATTGCAATGTATTCTAATAATAATCTTATTGACGTTCCATTATTAATAAAAGTGTGTTTTAAAATAAGTTCAGTTTTGCATTGTCAAATATTTTGAAAACTAAATCGAAAGTCGTACCTTCTTAATTTCATTGAAAACACAATAATGATTTATTGTTTTTGCATTTTTATAGCAGAGTGAGAGTGAATATAGTGCTGTCGTTTGGCTTTAGTGTTGAGAATGATATAATATCAATTTTAAATGTTGCAGATCAACTGTGTTATTTTGGGATGCGCAATGCGAGCAGTATTTCGTGTACAGATGGTTCGCAACCAACACAAGCTAGATAAAGCAAAGTAAGATAAAGGCTGCTTGTTTATGAACATGGCCCACAAAGGAGTGACATTTTTCATTTCAAACGTTTATTAGAACCTTCCTCTTAATGAGCTGTAATAAAACCCCAAAACGTTTGCCTTTGGAACAAAATTGTTCGGATGATATTCGATTAAATAAAATCTTGTATTGTTTAGATGTTTTCTCTCTTTTTGCATACTGATTACATACACAGAGCATATAATTCAAATAAGCTTACTATTGGCATATATATAACTATATTGTTTTAGAACTGGAATACGTTCTCTCTGTGTTCTTCTTCCACTCGTTGGGTGCACATGGATAAGTGGTATTTTCTATGTAAACAAATCAATGGCATGGATACAATACATATTTGCTATTTGTAATGGGCTTCAGGTAAATAAATTTAATCTACATTTTTTAAAAATATTTTCCTTTCTCCAAGTACCGAACGCCGTTGATATAATAGGTACAAGCATATCTTTGAGACAATTATAAATGCAATTAAGTCTACAATAATTTAATTTGGCACAGCCAACCTATATCTTTTTCACTGTTTCTTCACTTTTTTCTTTTCTCATACTTCCTTTATCTTTCCTCCTTTTTCATACGCTTTTTTCTCTCTCTCTCTTTTCTCTTATACTTCTGATGCACTTTATTATTTTATAAGTGCTTTTTGTCATTCATGTTTTCATTTGCAAAGACGTTTTATAAGAAGATATAAAAGATAAAATATATTTGTCATAATTGATAACATTGATCTGAAATTATCATTTTATGTATTTAGTAACTACGATTTGAATGGTTGTATATAATGACTGAAAAGTATAAGAGAAAAAAAAAGATATGAGAGCAAAGGTCAGCGAAGGAAAGCAAGGCTCACGAATTGAGACCCGTCAATGTCAAGTCACATATGGTCACTGAACACGCAGTCAGTACGATTGTTGAGAATACAGCTAGAGGCAGGGGACACTTAAGAATGTATACAAACTCTAAACAAGCAATAAAGAAATAAGCATGCTAAGATAATGATATTTGTGAACCGTTATATGACAATGTTCTGTATGCACGTATTCTAAATGCATTAAAACTATACATACAATAACCATGTTTTGTATTGCAGGGACTCGTTATATTTATCTTCCATTGCGCCCTGAATAAACAGGTAAATATGTATAATTACGCAAGTGACCTGTAATATACTTATCTAATCAAGAGCTATATTTTCTGGTTGTCATTAAAATACAATTCCAAAAATTTCATTTTTTTACCTTGATACAATTAATAACTGTTACATCAAAAGTTGTTTTATCAGTAACCATTACTGATTGTTTAAGACGGAACAAAAAAACGTATTCAAAAGGCTAATCTTCCAGCATGCCTTTTAATTTATATACATATTTGTAAAAATATAATCAATTTCAATTAAATTGATCAAGCTTATATTCAAAAAGTTTCATCGGTGTTCTTTGTAAGTCACATTTGACGTAAAAAGTAACAAGTAGGACAATATTTGTATTTTTCTTACACCTGTATATAGAAATATATGTAACGAAATGAATGAACTCTAGATGCAGTATATTCATAACTGAATGAAAATATAACAACTAGCGTTCACGAATCAGATCTGGACGTGATGATGTTTATGAGAAAAACATCGTCAAGTTTAAGAACCCTACAACATTTTCAATGTTGTTGTCTTGGGTGTACTTTCTGGATTTCTATTTTCTCTATTTCACAGAATTTGTTTTGCATACTTAGACATACTAATCATGAAAATTAGACTCGCCTTTCTAAGACAAACATGTAAATTAAATAAGTGTGAACTCTAACTGACATTTTAATTTATGTATGTTATTATGCCACTGTTCAAATGTCAAATACAGTTCGTCTGTAATGAAATAATTTGATATAATTTTATTTTTTACTTTTTATTTCAACGAAAATTTATCAAATTATGAATGACTGTTGTGGTATTACTTGGAAGATTTAATAACATAGCTCTACATTTATAGATAATGAAGGCATTGGTAGCGGTTGTGAATAGAAACAATAAAAAGAAAGAATGCTTGACATTAAGGACATCAAATGAAGGCTTGTATTCCAGACTGTCTATCAAAGTAAGATATACAGTATTTTAAGCTGCAATTATTAAACAAATGAAAAATTTAACCCAGCTTTCATGTTGACCCCATGTAAATGTTTAATTACTTAAATCTGAATTACTTTTAAAAAAGCGTGAGTGTAATGTTTTTTATGTCTCCTGCTACACATACGCTGTAACTGACTTTCATGCGGCGAAACATGATCAATGACCGCTTTGTTTTTCTAAATTTCAGCGAGATTCTAAGACAAGTCCTACGCCACATTTAGAACTATTTCCAAGTAGTTCTAATAGCATAGGGGGATCTGAAGGTGATTTTTATTATTGATAAAACTGTTATTACGATAAATTTACCAGTGTTAAATAATTTGACACTGTTATGTTGTTTCGCACTAGATCAGTATCATTGAATGTATTTGCATATTTTACAACTTTATACACGTTGTTTTCCCCAGTCAAAATGCTATTTCCCCCTAAAATGGAGTCATATTTTCCTTTGAACAGAAACAAGTTCTGTTATTGCACTTAAAAATGAATTACCACATAAACAGCTCTAAATGAGAAAAATTGAAATTTTAAGTGGAAAATTTTATTAAAATTATGGATAGTTTATATTCTAGGTTGTTAGTGTTAGGTTTATAGTTTTTCCCTTCTTTTTGTTTTACTGAAGTATTTTTCCCCTCAGAAGGCCACATGTTGTTTTGAAAATAAAAACACTGAATATTCTATATATATTTTTCTTCGGTCCTTTGGGACTATTGATTCAATTTTTTTTACTGTTTGACTTATACAATGGGCCCTCCTTTGGTATTTTATCATTGCTCTCGTGCAGTAATTTTCTTTTTGTTTTAAGATCATGTATCATTATAATTTATTTTAATTCATTTTTTAGTTTCACTAGACTATTCTGCCAAGATAGACAACTTGCAATATGAAGAATTGAACAAAATACAGATTGAATCGGTATGTTTTTGACAAATTTACATACAATCATGTTAATAAGGTTCATTTCCAGTTTATCTATTATAAGAAAAACATGTTTTCTTCGTATCGATAAATTTTAAATGCATGATGAGCTGTCCCACATGACTTGATTTTAAATGACACCTGTACATATAGTCGAAAATATCATCAACGTTGTCTTTGAACTTTTTCAAGATGTTTCCATTAACACGTTTATGTTATCGGACCTGGAAATGTGTTGCATTTTCAACTTGTGTTGATTAAATTTCAGGAACACGACTTACAAATTGGCAGCCTAACCGAAAACCAGTGGTTTACACATATGTAACATAAACTGATACACAAAGAGTATAATACAAAATATGCCGACATACATTAACAATTTTGGAAGAGACAGTTCATTTTACGTTACACTAAAACCTCTTCTTTGTATTCATGGAGTTTTTTTTGTTATGGAAGTAGTAATGTGATTGGAAAGGCTTTGTAACTGTCGAAAATCATTGTATGATGGGGAATGACTGAATATAATTAAATATAATTCAAATGATGTAATTTGTATAATTCTTAATATTTCGTTTCCATTTATATATTTGTAAATAAACTATTGTTTGCTACTAAAATTCCATTTTCATTTCCTCAGTGATTTATTTTCCCTTTCGGTCCTGCACTGGAGAATTAAAATGGAAAATGTGCAAAAGATAATAAAGAAAATATATACTCAAAGTAAAATTGTGTTTTTGTGCGATTCAAACGTTTAAATGCTTTTCATTTTTGGTAATTCTGGATTATTAGATAATAAATCTAAACCAACGGTAGATAGATAGATAGATACTTTTTATTCCTCCAATATTGAAGAGCAAAACATATTTACAAAACCGAACAATAACAGAGCATGGCATATGTACAATAAATTACAAATCATAACATCTAAGCAAACATCATTTGTTATACAATTCTTTCAGATCGAATAAATATATGGAGATATGCTGATATCTACATTTATCTCATTTATGACATACAATGTATGTAACAGACTTTATTTATATAAAAACCACATCGTATTTGTATTTACTCTGCAAAAACTAGAAGTTGACTATCAAATTATAAAGTATACAGGATACAAAAGATATATTTAATTGCTAAAGTTTAGTTTGAGAATTCATGTATATTCATATCTTTCTTCGGTTACTTCTGTCAAAATTTTACTCGAAACGAAATAGCAAAATGATGACTAAGTTATTAGAGGTAAAGTTATTAAAGGTACTCTTAAGAAAAGACGACATTCAATGTTACAATACCTATCATACTGTTATATAATTACGATGAATTATTTCCAACCGAGGAAAACAAACAAATTATAAAAACAAAGATAGATAATGATAGTTTTTATGAGATCATATCAGTGTTTAAGGCGTTACGTTAATGTCTCACAATAATGCAATTATATATATTTGAACAACTTGTATAGGCATTTTGCAATACTATAATTGTGCAATATCATCCCATCATTATCTGCAGCAAATTGAACAACGCGCCAACACTGACTTTCTATTGTTGTTGTTGTAAGGGATATATATATCCATGCCTTTCGATTCAATTATTGCATCCCATAATTGTTTTCTCCTTGCAGAGGTTTTTGTACAAAAGCATATCACATGCGCCACAACACTATCGTTTAAAAGTTCACAGTTTTTACATAAAGAAATATAGCTTGGTGTCAAACAAGTACCAATTAAGTCTAACAAGAAGGAGCAAATATATTGTTGTTTCGGATTATGTCGGGCCACTTTCCATAGTTGCGATGGACTATCAGACAGAACAATCCGTTGGAGCTCTTGCCTTTTTGAGAGCAACCTTTCAAATCTATCATTATTCGCTCTCTGTAAAACAGTTTTAATCAGTACCGATTTCCAAGACTGTTTAGAAGGAAATATACTACAATTCACAAAAGTTATCAATACTTCTTCAAGATTATACTTTTGAAGCAGGCGATAAATGTCAGGGATAAATCCAAATATTTGTTTATCAAAGAGTAGATATTTGGTCAGTCTGTCGATAAATACGTGTTTTACCAAATATATGCAGGGCAAACGACACAGTTGTCCGAAAAATTGAAGCTTCCTGTAATTTATGATAGTTTCAATATCATTGAGGTTAATTGCATTCAGGGCTAAGTCTGTTGGAGTTCTTGGTTTGAGTCCCTGAATGAATTTCGCACAAAACCTATGAGAAATTTCCAGCTGTTGCATATCTGTAGACGAGTAACTATTCCAAAGTTCACAACCAAACAATGCACGAGGAATGACAACAGAGCAATAAATAGTTCTTGAGGTGATTGGGTTTAAAAGTTGAGAATTTATGCCATTATTATGGATGCTAAGCAAAGTGCCGCGAAGTTTGTTCCCTGCATCAAATATTGGTTTCTTTGTGTTGAGGGTTTTTTCAGCCTCTATGCCTAAATGTTTATAACTTTTTGTTTCTTTGATCACTTCATTTCCTTATTTGAACACACGATTATCTTTTGATTCTGTATCTCTTTCGTTATAAACAATTATTCCACACTTCATGACATTATAGTTATATCTCCATTGACGGGAATAATTGGAGCATATATCGAGCATTTTGTCCATACCACATTTCGACAATGACACTAGGACCATATCATCGGCTACAGTTGGGGTTGAAACATTTAGGTCATATACACAAAAGCCATATCCACACTTCTCTAATTCCTTTATCAACCCATCAATGAAGAGGAGGTAAAATAATGGCGAACTTTTCCCTCCTTGTCTAGTTCCTTGTAATACGGGAAAACTGTCTGATTTGATACCCTGATACTTAACATAGCTAGTCACTCGTTTATACATTTCGACAATGGAGATTATTGTTGTATTGTCTACTTCACACTGCATCAGTTTGTAAAATAATCCCGAATGCCAGACATTGTCGAAGGCTTGACGTCCATCTAAATAGCACACGTACAACTTAGAAGAGTTTTCACGGGCAAACAATATGCTCCCGCGTAATAGAAATGACGTCATCAAGCAACCAAGTTTCTTTTGAAAACCACCTTGTTGAGAACTAAGTTTTTCCAGTAAAGTATTTTTACATCTTGATAACAACACCAGCTCGTACAATTTCAAAATTACTGATGATAATGTTATAGCACGATAGTTATTGGGATCATCCTTCCTTTTAGTTCCTCCTTTATGTAAGGTTATAATCACGCCTTTTTTCATATCGTCTGGAATGTAGCCAATCCTAAGCATATGTGTGAAGATATTGGCTAGAATTCTAGAAACAATGTGTTTTGAGTAAATTAAATGTTCGTACACTAAATTATCCTCACCACAAGCTTTTCCTACTGGCAGGGTCTGTATAGCCTCAGAAACTGTATCTGGAAGCACGCGTACTGTTTTATCGGTTGTGATACGCCCTAGTGTTTCATTTACCGTCGCTGTCACTGACTGCTTCCAATATTCATCATATTCTTGGGATTCATTAAATGTATACAAAGATTGGAAATACAGTCCCCACTCTTTTGAAATTTGTTCTCGGTCTCTTATTATTTTACCGTTGAAGTTTATACCTTCAGTCATTTTACATTGACTCTTTCGTTTTCTGGAATTCACTAGTTTCCAAAATTGAGTTGAATCGATTTCTGCAGTTCTATCCAACTCGTTGTCCTGTTGAATAAGAAAATCCTCTGAGCACTTTCTCAGCATCTTGCGAAAGTCCCGTTTAGATGATTTATATTTAACGTAAAATACATTGTCGTTTCTACGTGGTCTCCCATCACGACACCATTCCTCGCGTAGCAATAGCATTTTCTTGTGTAAGGACGATAGTTCGTCATTCCAGAAGGGTTTTAAATATTCCTTAAAACGTTTCTGTGGTAACCCGTGACACGCACTGTTCAATAAGCTAGCGGAAATCACTGTATATGCTCGATCAATACCATCTTTATCGAAGTCACAATATTCAAGTTCAAAAAATTCATTATCAGATAATAATAAAGACTGATATTGCACAATACTATCATTTGATGCTTTCTTCCAATTAATATTATACACATTATTGCTTAAATTAGTTAGCATACTTGGTTCTACATATATATGAATAGACATGACAATAGGCCTGTGCGAATGATCTGAAATTTTGCACACGAGTTATCTAATGGCCCATATTTACATATAATATCTTAGAAACATTAAAAAAGTATTTCCCCGTCATATCACGTCAAAAAAGCTTTGTCTAATGTTTTAAAACATTTAATATCTAATAATATTAATATTTAATATCAGACCATAATTTTTTTCGGTGATTTAATACATTCATTTAAAGTCGTTCGTTTATTCTTTTCTGACTAAAGCCAGTATTTTTTTTTCTTGCAAATTATATATGAAAATACATTCCGGAAATTAATTACGAAAACTAGTACATGTATATTTATTTAGCAAGTATTATAGATTTACGTATGAATTTACAACCTCATTTTAGACGGCAATATAACGTCCAAGACTCGCAATTCATTACAAAAAATACTTAAAAGGACGTACATTGTCCTACATGGAGATACATGTATAACACGGGGTTTTCTAGCACCGGTGTAAAAAGTAGAAGACCTTTTCCGATGTGCAATAATATTTATTAATAAGCATCCATCTGTCTTATGTAAAACAATGCACCAATTTTACCGTTATATCTCAAGTATGTTACTTTGACTTATTAAATGCTATATAGATAACTTGACGATAAACTGATAAAGGCACAAGAACAATATAAAGTAATTTGATATATTTTCAAATATTTTTCAATTGTTGAGACTCATTATTTTGAAGAAAAAAATCTTACCAAGGCAAAATGAAATTCATTTAATAAAGACGTGCTGTTTAAGTTAAACTGGTTGTATGTGAAATTGCAAAGGTTAATAACATAATAATAATATTATATGCATTATTCCTTTGACAGGATTTTTTTTAAGTCACACCGATTAAACATCTAGTACATGGCAACTTCGGACCTGAACAATTAGAGGAAAACACATGTTATAACTTCAAATTTGAACATTTGTTTAGGGACGAACATGTACATGTAAAAAACCAACGACCTTCAGCCATACAAATTAAACTCTAATCAATTAAATATTATCTATCTTAAAGACTTAACACGGTGATAAGCACGCCGGCGTGATTTAACAAGTCGTATTTGGTTTCGGTTGGTTATAAATTGAAATATGTTCACACATCTCATTTTGAATACCTGTGATCCGTTATCACAAGTAAATATGATAAGGACAAATAAGTGTTGACGATAGTTAAAGACAAATTAAATCAGTATAAGCATACATGTGTTAAGTTTTGCAATGTATGTCTTTTCTTCAATTAAAGAAGTAAGTAAACAAGCGTATTTTTATCAAGCAGTAACAAAATGATATTTTTTTTTGTATTTAAAATGTAACTAAAGTAGTTTCAATAATATATTAAAATCAACGTTATAATATCTTGTTTCCGTCGTAAAACTGATAGAAGATGAAGAAAAAACAACTGTTTATAGATTGGATTTTTCTGGTTAACCTTTGTCACCAGTATTATACTATATCCTCCTGGTACCGGAAGTGGTTAACCTGTGTCACCTATATGATAACGCTTTATTTAACTTTAAATAAAGAATGTTAAAATTGTGAATATTACTTCCGCTTTAACGTCAGCTAAATTGGTCATACCGCGTTACAATTCTGGATTACATAATTTAATTACAAATTTTACATTAAAATTAATTATGTGAAATACGTTTATTTAAAGTTACTGTAACCACTTAAACTCATATAATAGAATACACAACATTTTTGCGAACTGATACAAAATAACTGCTACAAACGACATGTAAACTTTGTGCACCTTGTGCTCGATCTATGCATGTATGACTATTCAAACAAAACGGTGCACTATAAGTGAACACCTGATGTGTGAACCAATTTGCGGCTGACGACATTACTATAAACTTGTAAAGTTGTTTCGTTGTGTTTCGCTTATTATACGCTTCCTTAGCAGATGTTTAATGTAGTCGTCAAGAACCAAATTAAAAGCTACATTGTAACCATAAGGGTCCTTTATTGAAATCATTTAGGCTTTTAATTTGGTTTGATAAGCATAACGTATATACACAGCATTCACAATCAGACTAAAGTTCAGATCTACTTACTCGTATTTCTTCCACGTAGATCTAATGACTACCGTATATTTTTCATCTTCTTTATAATTCGGATTTCCCGAGAAAGCTAGTTTTAGCCATGCAACCAAACCGGCTTTTATAGATAGGCATAAGAAGATGTATCAAAATACCGTTATCCATGTTAGTTAAACAAGTTGCTGATTTCTGTTAGATAAAAAATGTTTTAAGTAATTTCTAACAAATTAACTTGAAATTATAGAGTCATTTTTAAAGTGCAAGATTGTTTTGCCAGTTTACCTTTTCGGCTATATGGACATCGCCATGTTTGTTCTCAAGATCGTGAAAATAACCTACTCAGCATTGGTTTCTCAAGGGTTCAAATAAGAAACCGCAATGCTTTCAAAATAATGAACGCTCGCCAACGACTGGTTGTTTGAAAGACCACCCGAAGGTGACAACCTATGGATGGATGTCTGATCCTAATGCGTAGCATAATGTAGGAGCTGATTTTAAACAAATTGACTGCATTAAATGAGTAAGATAAACAGTGTGTAAAGGTAACTTTTAAACACCAAACGTTTCAGATAAAAAAACCCAATAGAACTTAAGTTACATTTATTTAGTAAATATATCCTTCGAAGCTGGATAAATAAAGAAACATTATTACTAGAAAAGAGAAATTAAATTGCATGAAAATAACAATCATTTTTCTTAATACTATTACCTGTTATACTATCCAGAATATAGGACCATTAAAAATTTGTTTTTAATAAACATGTAACTGTCTTTTCCTATTTGAACACTTTCATCTATATGTTTTTATTTGTCCAAATGGAAATTTAAAACATTTATCGATAAATCAACAAAATATATATAAAATCTTGCTAAACTAATGAATATTTCTATTCGATAGATATGAAAAATTAGTTAAATGCTTATTTCATTCTCATTAATTAAAATAGTCTTAAAAGAACATATCTCACAATGTTAACTCACTTCTTTCAGTACTTATCTATCAAGCTTTTTAAATAAACAAAATGAATAAAAATTCAAACATATATCGCCAAATCTATCAATGCTTATCGATAAAAATTCCTTATACTTTTCAAGATTAGAAAAAAAAGTTTCATTTATGCGTGTGAATTTTATGTGTTTACCGTCACTTCAATTAAGGACTGAATTGGCACGCAAATCTAATAGACTCAACTTTGTTTAAAAAATGGATAAAACATTAACAATACTCTTCAACTTAATATATTTCGGTAAGAAAGTTTATAACATACTTTGAAGCAGAACCTTTTAAACTTGAAGGAATTAAGGGAAAAAAAACAAACAAAAAACAAACGTTTTCATGTTTCATATTTTTTAATGATTTGTATAGATAACTTTTGCAGAAATCAGTTTACTCTACATGTTTTATTTTATCAAATCTAACTCGTGCAAATTCTGCACAATTCGATACGATCCGTGTTGTCAAGAAATAAAAATCAGAATTAAATTATTCATTGCTGTTTGAAACTTACTTTGATCATGCTATTGTAGCAAAGCTTTATATTATTTATATTTTGAAGTATTTATTATGGGTGATTTCCTCGAAAACCAACCCAATTTTTCAGTTAAGATTCTAGATTGCAAAATAGAGGTCAATGGAAATATAAGATCAATGTTTTTATCAACTTTAAGTAGCTAAATTTTAAACATATGTTTAAACAAATGATGAGAAATTACAAAATATGATTTTGATTCTGGTTTTCCCGTTTAATTTCTTTGTGAAAACGTGGTCCGATGTTTTTATTAGTTACAGATACCTACAGCTCTTCTGTAAATCTTGTGACAGAGCCAATTCAGAATGACTCTCTATCACTGACGTGTAGATACACTGGAAATGAAACCGTTGATTATTTTGTATGGCACTATTATGCTCCCTCGATCAATACTTTAGATGTTGTCCGCAATGACTCCTGCATATCAACTATTAAACTTGACACCCGTTTCACTAATCTGAAATACAAGTTCGGATGCTCAGAAATCAATTCAAATACAATTATATTTGAGAGGCTTTCTTTGGATATGCTTATTGAAGCAATGTCATGCACTGTGAGAACAATAGAGCAGAATTGGTCAAGTAACGACAGGCTGCTATTTACATATGGCGAGTATTGCATAATTTTGTTTTAAATTGATAATTATAAGAAATCATGATTGACATATTTACAAGTAAAAGATATGTTAAGTAATTCATAAGTTAGTATTGTCGGTTATAGTAAATTCAACCAAATCATGTCATAAAGCAATTCATGAAACTTAATCGAACGGATGACAAGGATTAGATGCCGTATGAATTCAAAATAAGAAAGTAAGGTTAAAAGAAGTGAAATGTGAAATACCCAAACTTAACTGTTGCAAATGTTGTGCCGTAAAGTAATGCTCGTATTAGTGACAACTGCGCACAAACATCCTTGTATTACATACCCATGAATGACTCTTTAACTTGTTTTTTACATTTGCTTTGTATATTTTTATCCTGCAGTAACCGTTGAAAAAAAGATAAAAATAACAGGACAATTTTTAATTTTGATTAGAATTCAATATCGTGACGTAAAAAAATATCAAACCAAGCAGTCTATATTATCTATTTTTATCTTTCCTTTATATTGATATTTACAGTGGTTCCATATGAAGAACTTCTATTTGGTGATTTTTGGTGCCGGCCACATGAGATAAAAGACAATTATAGAAATAGTTCATATCGGCCGTATTCTGAAGAAAATACTGCACTTGAGTGGAGTGCTCTTAATTATTGGTTTAAACGTTCTACATATGGCTTATCAGTCTCCTGCACAAAAACCTACGCTGCCAATGTTAATCCTGGTAAAGAAATGGTATTTGTTCTAGGTAAGATAACAATTTCATTTCCGATATTCCACTTATAAGGTCATGCATGCTGGGCTCCTTATCAGTGGTCCTGTGTTGCTTGGTAGTGTGTTGTGGTTCCTTCCCTGCTGATCTTCTTTTTCATGTTTTAACACCATTATTACAAGATACATTCAAGCGTTTTCCTACAAATAACGATAAAAACATCAAAATCCAAGTGACGAGCAAACAAGAACATGTAATTTTACGTACTGCAAGCATTTCGATAAGCTCTTCTAGTATTGTTTCTTGCGTGAATTATCATAGTGAACAAATAATTTACCCCTTTGAAAAATGTAAATCGACATAATTGTAATTGAAGAAAACCATCAAATTCTGCATTTAGTTCATTTTTTTTAGTTACAAGTTTTATCTTTATTCAATTTTGTGTTTTTATCGACACTTTTTTTTAAATGGCTGATGGCTTAACTTTAATCCAACTACGTATACATCACTTTCATGCTTTCTAAATGATCGTAGTTTACGTTAACATTTTGATGATCTGACAATTCATTTGGTTGGTGGCTGGATCTTTGTAAAAATCCAAAAGACGTTTTATCAGGCAGCAATGTAAATTAACGCAATACTACGAGGATGTTGTTTGTTTATACATTTCCCCCCTGATCGATGAAGAGTACAACAGTAGGGGTGCATCCTTGATACAAGTGACAACTGTTGAAAATTGGTTGATAAATTAAATAATTTAAAAATCAATATTCAGATATATATCGCTAACATAAACTAATTTTACAATATGTTGTTTTAAACTTTTAAAAGATGACAAAAACACCTAAGACATTTTTAGAAAAAAAATGGGTGTTGTGGTAAGTATTTTTTGTCAGTAAAACTGGTTTTGTGATGGGAGGGAATTTATCAACAAATTATAGAGGTTTCTCTATGTACCGAATATCCGGTACGTTCAAAACAGGAATCCTGAGAAAAATGAGTACTTGTTTTTTGCATGTGACTGTCTTGTGATACTTTTTCTTTTGTTTACATGCTTTGTAATACTAAAACAACAACCACAACCACCACCAACAACAACAACAATAATAATACTTGAATGTACATTTTAAGATACTGTTTTGTTTAGCGAGAATAGTAAATAAAGACAAATAAATTGATTTCTAATCAATATACAAATGATTAAAAAGTGGATAATTAAGATGTTCTCCTAAAATCTACCACATGGAATGATGTCTATTTTGTCTGAACTATATACAACACGAAAAAAATAAAACTACAGCACAATTATTCGTGTAAAATTCATTCTGAAAATATGTCTTGTAATTGAAATGTTTGTACTTTATATATAACCGCAGCATTCCTTTTTCAATTTCAGTGACCAGTTGTCAAAAGGAAGTGGAAACAAAAACTGAACTATCATTTGGAACAAAAGTTCCTTGTTCGTTATATGTCGCTAGTATATCTCTATTACATACTTTGCTGTTTTTCTTAAGAATTAAAGTACTTAACTCATATTTGTCATACCAAGTCGTATAATTTTGAAAAAAAAAGCTCATTCAACAATGAACAATTTTGTAATTATTTCATAACTATTCATATAAAATCATTTTTAAATAAATATCATAAAATCAAACATTTTCAATTTCAGATACGTCAGGCTATATTTCTTATAATTACTCAAGCGAGGGAACATGTGTGCAACAAATGAATAGCTGCTCTCGTACAAATATAGCGGAAATAGAGCATATTGTAAGTTAAGTATAATAGCAAATTTAAGTGTAAAAAAAATTGTTTCTAATTTTTAACGAATTATCTTCAGTCTATTCAAATGACGCTATATAACTTGTTTACCATAAACGAGTCTGAGTCTCTGAGTATTTACCACATGCAAGATTATTATGTAAGACATGTCCCGCTAAGGAATGAACATATGAGTGATTATTTATGGAAATATGCTGCGTTCTGTGATCTCAATTTATATCATATTAAAGACTTACCATCTACTAAAGGTTAAGTCGGGCTAGTATATTCTATATAAGCTGATAATTCTGTATTCTTTTTTTCCTTACTTTTTTGTCAAGATTGGTCAGATCAATGGCGGAAATTCTAATGAGGAAATAGAAAGTGCTCTTGTGAAGACCTTAGAAGTAACAACACATGAAGATTCAAACAGCCATCTTCATCATGAAGAGCTTACGACTATAATCCAAGCGTTGGACAAAATAGTTAAATTAGAGAACTGGGCTGTCACTCCTAATCAGTCAATAGTAAATGCACATATACATTGCAATGTTAAGATGAGACATTACTGACCCATAAACATTAATATGTTTGATCAAAATTATGATTAATCTTTAAGTTCTTAAAACCTTTATTATCATATGATCACTCTTCAGGTGTAGGTTCTAATATTTACAATTTCTAAGTTTTATTGTTTTATACAATAAACTAATAATAAATAGCATTATTTCAAACTGCATTTTAAATACATTATGAAATACTCCACAATTGAACGAAAATGTATAACTTTATATTTTTCAGAACTTCATGAGGACCGTAAGTAACCTTCTTGATACTAAGAATAAAGCAGTGTGGCAAAACATTTCTGGAAACGTGCAGGGTATAAAGGTAACTATAAAAATATATACATAAAGATATTGATGTTGAAGTGAAACGTTCCAAACTCTGACCTCAATATAATAGTGAACATAGAACTTTCATAATGCTCGGTTTGATGAACATCTTTGCTATTGAAAACTGGCAAAGGCTTGAACATTTATAGAAATGCAATCATGGAATTTTCGTTTATATTTCCAGAATCATTTGCCAAAATAAGATACTGTTGCCGTTGAAATAACAATACTACACTACACTATCCATACAATAAGCAACATGCGTTCTGAGTGTATTGAATGCATCAATTTGCCTCAATCTGAATTTTTCATAATGATTACTTTTTATTTCTTTGCAGTTCGTATGTACTTTTTCATACATGTTTTTTTAATCTAGAATTGTTTTCTTTTTGCGCCGATTTTATCACGTTTTGATAATATTTACGCGGCCCATATGCATGCCTAACCGGCTTTCCTTGATAACTATAACCAGTAATTATCTATTTCTTATAAGGTTGAAAGTCTACTAATTACATCTGATTTCTATGGTGATAGATAAATGACCATAAGAGTGAATGTCCGAGAAATTTTGCTCGCCAGAGGAACGAGCAGGTGACTCTAGTACTACTTATCCGATGCTGTCCCTACCAGGCTAAGCGGTCGGACTTTAATTATGATACATTTTGTAAGCATTTTTGTATCATTGTTTTATGTATAGGGCGATCAATGGGTATGGAAGCTTCTTAATACCGTCAGTTCGTTTTCTATAATTCTTGGAGGAACTTTAAATGAAACAACTTCTAACAAAGAGAGAACAATACACACCGAGAATGTTCGTAAGTTGTATCATCAAGAAAGTTGATACAAGTATTTAATTGATCTCCATTTCTTCTTTGATTCTTAATTTTAGTTAATTAAGCATTTCAGTATTAAGCTATCACACTTTACATCAAGTAATACATAAACATATATGTTTTGAAAAGCAAACTGTACATTAATTCCTGGTGCTTATACATAACACGGACTCATATAAAACTAAAATACCATTATTTATTGTAAATATTTATAAACCTTTGTACCTTATTCTATTTTAATGCGTGTTATAGTGTGTTTGACAAAATCAAAATCATTATACTTTATTCTATTTGCCTCTCAAATCGTTTTGGGTATCAGTTCTTCAGGTCAGTCAAGTGAAAAGTTCTGAAGGATTAACATTTCCAGATGCCAATAAATATTCTAATTTATCAAAAGTATCATCTTTACAACTATCCGTTGATTCTTTGAAAGGTAAGTATAAGAAATATCATGATTTAGACTATTTTCAAAGCCTAGAAAAAGGAACATTATAAATGGCATACATTACATTTTGTAGATATGGAAGTTCACGCATAAGATACTATGGAACAAGCAAAAATCACATATTTCAACATGATATACATATAAGTAAATAAGTTAAAAAGTAAGAAAAACAGTATATTTTACAAAATGTGAACCTTTTAATTAAACATTTTTGCTCTCAAATTACGATTAGAAAATCATATACATTTTTAATGTCCTATCAAATTGTTTTTCAGGATCGAGACTGTTCTATGGTATGCTATTTAAAAATGTGTCTGGTTTGCTATCAGCAGAAGCAACAGATAATAGGTACTTCTGCTTGATTGATCAAGACATAGTTTTTTCATAAAGAACTGTTAGCTGTTACAAGTATGGAGTAATTATAAAATATATTCTAAGGGAAACAACCCATAAACAAATGTAGTTATAATCCAAAGATGATTAATACTCTCATACTTCTCTCTCAACCACAGTTTCATAAGCATGACTATGTACTCGATAGACTAAGAGCAATTTTTTATCTACCTGATACGATTCCATGTACTTCTTTTTAAATACCCTTTGGAATACAACTTTAAATTTGAAATAAAGATGCATAATTCTATTTTTTCTTTTATATAATCTTTAGTGTTAAAGACGGGTTTTTGAATTCTGATGTAATGGGTGCTAGGCTGGACAACTGGAAAAGCAATAGTGACTTTAAAGTTACTATTAAATTTCAACTCTTGAAGGTAACATACATTATAGTGTTTTTCAAGACTAATGCAAATGCTCTTCTACGCACTTGTATTAAGTAATGTAATGAAAGCCCATTTAGTTTGATAATTATAAAATCGCCATTGTTTTTTAATCTTAATTCCAATGTGCAAATTTTCATATATTCCCAGTTTCAATCTACCTTATCAATGCTATATTTCTTTATTTTTCAGAAAAGTAATTTGCGAAAAATGTGTAGTTTTATGACTGAAACCAGGTAAACTTGGACCCTTTTATCCTTAAAAAAAGAATTGCCATTACAAAAACTATCTTTAAATTTGCCATACTTTTACTGTTTCTATAGCATATAAACATTCATATATAGTTACGTTTAATTTAAACTTGGTAAAGTGCAAGAGCATAAAACATTCATATAAGGTAATTTCTATCTAACTTTCATTAATGTCAAACCCCTCGCGGGGACGTAGATATGTATATCTTGCCACTCAATGTCCCATTATTCCCCAGATATGGTTTAAAAAGGATTACTCATTAGCCGTTTACCTGCACCATTATGTTCATATGTTGCTGTAGGTACTGTTATAGTGAATTCGTGTTTTATATGGTAGTCAAAAATACTACTTTGTTAACATTTTGCTACAGTTATCATTGCTACTTTCTTTAGGTTACAAGGATCTATCATTCTCTAAAACCATCATTTTAACATTATAAAATTCATGTTTGTCGTACTCTAAACAAGTTTCTGAAGCAAAATATGCATGTAATATTTTGTTAAGTGTTTCACATTTTTAATATGATATACAATAATAACTGAACATCTGTTCAATAAAGCACAACGTGGATGAAAGAAGGATGTTACTTGAAAACATCAGACTCAGCATCAGCCACATGTGAATGCAACCATCTTACAAACTTTGCAATTCTTATGAGTCCTTGGACAGAGGTATAGTATTCGGATTTTTGCAATTCTTGATTAAAAGTTTCTCATCCGTACACAATAATTATGTTAATATAAAAATGCTAACATTTGAAATGTTTTAACATTCATTGACGTGTATTACTGTTTTAATTGCATGGCTTATACTCTAGTAAGTATAAAATAAAAGCAAGTTTTTGTGTTTATGTTTGTTTTCAGATCGTATATTTATTTACAAAACATACATTTTACTTTACAAACATATCTCAGATTGTTTTCATTGTCAGAACAAACAATGGCTACACCAGAAAAAAACATAAATAAGCAAACTTAAACAGGTTGTTTTCATTGTGCATATAAATATTCCACTTGTTGTTATGGACATCGACCTTGCTTTTCATTTTCGCAACAAACTTTACATTTTAAGTAATTAAAAAATCGTTGAAGTTCCCTGGTATTTATTTTCCAAAGAGTAAGATATAAACAGTTTTATAATATATTTATATCCACATTACGTAGACTGACATCGTCTCGTTTGTAGTATACTTTGTAAAAAGTTCCTGATTTGACACGGTTGTATTGCCAAAATAAATGAACATTACATTCTGATTTTGTGTTGAAAACATTGTCTCCCCTTTTGACTGGGGGGGATTCTTTTTCCTGTTAAAAATACGGAAACAAAGTGATCTCTCGGAAAAATTAATCACAACAAAATTACAAGAGAATTGCAGACTCGGTTTGATTGAGTCATGTACAAGGCATTAGAATTGCAGCTAAATGAGTCCGAATTACTAGAGTCGAAGCATCTCTTAGCTCCATCAGATTCTCAACTATATTATATCTGGCGAGTTTCGTTACTTGGCAAAATATCAATAACAAGGTGTTTATGATGGAAACAGCAAATTTTGAGGTTATGATTATGATTTGTCAAAACATATAATCAAGGTTGGCTGAAAATTCTGATTTCCATTTGTTTTCTTGGTGATTGTTTCTAGTTGTTTTCTTTTTAACAAGCACATCATATATACATCCGCAGGGTTTTAAGCTGACAAATCAATAACGTAGTTATTTTTTATGTAATGAATCCCTTCATATTCCAGATGTTTGGTATACATTTTGGTGATTGGGCTATGCCATTAAGATTTAGGATATGGTTAATGCTTTAAATTGTTTCTATACTTGTATATGTGTTCGATAAACAGCATGCCATTTTACAACAGTTTGCAGAAAACAGATGGTTTTTTATTAAATTTATTTTCGTATTAATCTATGTTATAATTCTCCATTAAAGTTATTTCTTAATTGCAGTTTACATAGGACCAAGCGCTGAGTATATATTTTAAATGTATTTTATGTCTAGTGACATGTAAATACAATATGTTTTTGATTTTTATATTATTTTCATTTCAATGCAGGTTTATTTGGTTCGTGTGTATTATTCAATTTGGCAATATATGGAATGAAGTGGCATAATTCACATAAGGGCACGTTTCATAACAACAGAAAAACCATTTTTAAGTGGGCCAGAGAAAAAATAGATATTTCAAATCGGAATTGTTTTTCCATTTAAAAAATAAAGAATGAACGTCACGATTAATTTTTAAATATTTTTGCAGTAATGGTGCCGAGAATATTTTGTAGAGCACTTTCATTATTGTCAGTGGCTCCTAATTTTAGCCATTTCTGTGTTTATTTATCTATCTTATAACCTACGTTAAGTTTAGGTATTGACTCAAGCCCATATCAGCCTTTATGAAAATGGCACGATAAGAAAATTAAGATTTTAACACAAATATCTCTTTATTTTATTTCAGAGTAACGTAGAAACAGAAACATTGAGAATTATAACTTTTGCCGGATGCTCTTTGTCAACCCTTGGTCTAGTTATTACTGTGTTGGTACATTTATCCATGTGGAGGTAATGTTTTTTGTCTATATACAATGTAGTTGCCTTTTGTTTAAGTCCTTTAAGTAAATGCGTCCGTACTGATACCATGTACCATGCACTTTATTAGATAACCCTTTTTACTTTTCATTTAAAGGTTTATACAGGTAGTAATACCTTTCAAACAACTAACATACATATAATATATTTAATGATATTGTATCTTAATTAAGATACATTGAGCATTAATATTGATTATTTGTTATTTGGATTAATCAAAGGTCATTCAAAAAGCTACAAGTACTTTCGATATAGTGGAACGATTTTAATGACTTTTAAATGAATTTAAATCTTGTAGGTATTTGAAATCAGATAGAGCAACTATTTTGATGCACTTATGTGTTGCTATGGTAACATCCTATGTTATTTTCCTCGGCGGTGTTAACAGAACAGACAGCATGGTACATTTCTTTTTCAGTATTTGTAGTGTCTATGAGCAAAATTGGAGGCATGATTGTGTTAGATGCTATAACAAAACGTTTTACATACTTCATTTAGTGTTTATTTGACAAGCTTTGAAACGTTGTATGTTATATTTAGGTGAAATAGATTTTCAGTTATCCACTACAAAACCTGTCTTTTGTTCAACTATTAGTGTTGTCCCGATTGTCTCTGAAAATCGATAACTAATCGGATCACCCCAAAATCGGCAACAATCGATAGTCCTTTTTAACAATCGATTATTTTAATGTTCTACCACCGCTGAATTGCCTAGGGCGTAACTTTTTTACACGCGGTCAAATAGAAGTTTCCCGACCAAATCTTTTTAATTCCAGAGGATCTTATAGTCTTTTTTGTTTGCCTTATCAAAAAAGAATTACAGAAAAAAACATGGCTAGTGAATAAGTGGGCAATTTGAACGACTTTGTTTCTTGAACATCAAAACAAATTCATCTTCGCCTGTCACAAAGAAGTATAATGTATTAGGTATTTGTGTTGTTTGTTTTGAATTCAAAGAGTAAATCTTACTTTAATCAAGGAGACAAGAGCTTATTTATTCTCAAAATATGGTCGCTACTGTATAAAAAATACATACAAGGATTGGTCAAAAAATGCAAAACTCGATTATAATATCGGAAGACAATCGATTGTGGTGATCTGATTATCGATAGTGATTTTCGAGTCCGATTCCCAACACTACATTAAGGTATATCAATCTTTGCAGGCTTTTTATTTATAAATATCTTAAAAAAATATTTATACGTATACATTTAGCAATAATTTGTGGCATTTGATGTCAAAATAGTTGAATTGATATATTGGTTACGACATCATTTTGCATAGTTTCTCATAATTATGTCTTTACAGTACATAAAATTGAAGTTTATCCTTTATACTAAATCTAAATTTTATATCTTCAAATAGGATTTGTGTACAGCAGTTGCAGTGTTATTACAGTACATATATCTCGTTGTGTTTTTCCTAATGTTTGCGGAAGGTATTGAGATATCTTTTGCTGTTTTATACGTGTTTTCAACAAAACCAAGCATCAAATGGATTATTTCAGCTGCTTGGGGTAAATTCTTCTTTAGATTTAACTTTATTCATTTATAACACAAATGTGAAGTAAAGTATACGTAGAAGCCATATTTTACAATGAATCTTTCATCCATTTATTTATGTCGCTATAAGTTAAATTGAAAGTCAATTGGTTTTTTTCTTGTTTACTTTTGTTTTGAAGAAAATAAAATTATAATACAAATTTCCAAAAATTGAAGAATGGCTTCATTTTTGGCACGACAATAAAACATAAATGCAAACATTTACAAATAATTGACCAACAATTGCAAGACAAGAAAACAAGCAATGATATTGCAAATTTAATACTTTTACGTTTGTATTTTTTAAGTGATCATAAAATTATCTATTCCAGTTATACCGGCGTTAATTGTCGGGATTACCTTGGCAATTACGAAGATGAAAGGATATGGAACTCAACATTTGTATGTTTAATCCTTTCATTTTCAATTAATCAATTAATTTTAACAAGAAGACATCATCAAAATTTTATGATGCTAAGACGACTTTTATCGAAATAGTCCTAGTTGCAATTGTAGATTTATAGAAAAGTTATGAAGTATACTGTGTAATCCTAGAAAGAAATGGATTTTATGGCATGTAACTGTCCACGGATCCTTTTCATACAGGAAAACTTGAGTATGTTTGAGCTATGATTTTTGTTTGATTTTTATTTCAGTTGTTGGTTATCAGTTGACAATGGTCTAATTTGGGCATTTGTTGGACCAGCTTTGATCATAATTCTGGTATATTTAATACCATGAGGTTGTTTTAAATTTTTCGTTAGGTTCGTTAGGTTTTTCGTATGTCACACACACGCAGTTAAAGTCATATAGCGACTTTCTATCTTTGCTGGTCGAGGAAGACCTCTGTGTCCCTTAATTACATTATTTTAGACACGAGTCAGCAACTGAACCGACGACTTTCGATAAGCCAGGTAGAAAGTTTCTTGACATCAGATTTTACTAAACATTTTAAAAAAACGAACATTGTGAAAATTAATCATTTCATCGTTAGTATATTTTACCATATACAAAAAAAGAAATGTGAATTGACTTAAAAAACTTTTGATTAAACTTTAAAACTGAGACTCTTTTCTTTTTGATTACGGAATAAATTCTTTTAAGGTGACAACAGACACTTTCCGTGGTACTCACATAAATGTAATTTAAACCAAGTAATTTTAGTAATAATTGTTATTTATTTAATCTTTATGCATTAAATGTCGCTGATCAGCATAAAAAATAACATATTTGAAAAAAATGCTTTTGTAAATGATTGATTTTGAATAAAAATCCTAAAATTTTAAATCGTCATATCAAAGTCATTTTTTATTTTTTTGTCATCAAACTTTTGGAAAAAATAACCTTACTTATATTATCTGGGGAACCGTGTCTCAAATTTTTTCTATCTTTTCTCAAAAAAAAATTACGTAACGTCAAACATTTTATGCGACTTTTTTCACCATACATATTACGTAATTAAAGATAATTAAGTCGCTGATTGAGCAAACAAAAATCCCTGACACGGTTCCCTCCGTAAATGAATTTCCTTTCATGTGCTTTAAACCGCATGTTAATTGCTTGATTATTTAAAAAAGTTATGCCGATTCAAAGTTAGTCCGACCCGCATCAAACGAAGTGTCATAAATCGGCTGTTCTCTCTCGGACCCCTACGTTTCACGCTAAATAATTGCATAATACACAAATATCGCACCAGAGAGGGTCACAAGTTGCGGTAACATACTCTAACAACATTTTATGACCCAGTGACATCTGACCAATTAAAAAGCTGCTGATTAATATTAGTTTATAGCCGAAATTTCTTCAATTCTTAACGTGGATTTACTGTTCGTCTGGTATCTTTCGCACATGTCACGTGACTATCGGTAAAATTTGAGGCACTCAGTGGGGGGAAATGGAACGCATTTGCGCACCGCTAGCGGGGTATTTAATTGTTTCCTTTTTGAAGTTTATTATTATTATCATCAGCATTATTATTGTATTATACCAGTGTCACTCTGCCTGTGTATTCGTGTATGAAATTCCGTTAAAATATAAAATAAAATAACAAAAAAACTGAGCTTTTGACAGTCTTTTAAAGTCCATGGTAGATGTACAAATAAGAACAGGATATTATATATTTTTTCCACCAAATTGATAATGCTTCACATATTTTAATAGAAATAAAAGGTATTACTCGATCATTATGATATGGCCTTCTTGACTTCTATTATGAATATCATCTATGCACGGCATAGAGATCCAGTTTCTACCGGGATAGACAATAAATTTCATACTTTGTCCCAGATTTATTAGTACTGTGTCCGATTTACTGGCGAACAATTTATTTTCACTGAAAATATATTTTAATATCTTTTTTTATTCAAAGATAAATAATCATCCTTAGACAATCTAAAATGGTTTAGAAATTTGTCAGGTACACCTTACCACAAGTCATATAGGCGTTCACATAAAAATGTTGTCTGTTTTTGTTGTTGTTTTACTCGACATTGATAGAAAAAGGTTGAATGTAAAGTAAGCCCTTGAATCCGTACAAAAGTCTATCAACTCAATGTAATATCTATCAGATTAACGGACAGACAAATTATTTTCACACATTATGGATATTTTAGCAACTACATTTTTATTCAACCCCGTGGTTGTGCGATTTGCCGCTATGCTTAATTATTTATGTTACGTTCATTGGCCGACAATTTCTTAATTTATAAAAAAGGCTAAATGTTGAGATATTCATAAAAGATGTACGGTAGTTGTACGATACATGTATTACGAGAAGTATGGACCTGTAATTCACGGATATATGGAACTACCGATTTCCCTCATTGATGCCTCAACAGGGGGCGGAGCGTTATCGATAATCGACAGGTTACGCGAGTAGCAGTTACAATAGTATAGGTACCGTTTTAAAAACGTTTAAAAACACATTTTTTGGACTAACTGCTTCCAAAATTAAATCACGAATGTGTTCAGAAAAGGTTGATAAATCTACTTAGCAAAAAATCTCATTTTAGGTATTTTAAGTGATAATTGACTCCGTTGTCACCTTAAGCTATCTTCTCACAAAAATGTAGTTTTTATATGTATATAAAACGAAGCTTAATGTGCTTTGGCATAATGTGCTTTAACCAAATTTGTATTGCTAACAGTGTTAAGAAGTTATGTTCTAACTGATAGTCATTTAATCTTTTCAATGTTTTACATGACACTGTATCGTTCTTTAACCAGATAAATGCTGTGCTTCTTGGCTTTGTTATAAGAGCAGTATTTAATGTGAAAATGATGAGACAAAAACAAACCCATGCTAAAATTGTGTAAGCATGTTATTTTCTTTGAATGTTTATTTTACAATGAAGTTAATTAATAAGTTGAATTTATAACATTTTTATTAGATAGTTAGCCAGATAGATGAAATAAATTGATTCATCAGTCTCTGAGTAACTTTTAAAATAATACTTATCACTGAAAGTATTACAGAAACACAAAAATAATACATGTACTCTCTTACTGAAATTATTTGCAGGACATAATTTACATTGCTGTTATGATTTAATATGCAATGGTTTAAATTATTGTATAATATATTTATATCGTTGTCTTACTCCTCGTTCTGAATGATTTTATAAATCATGCAAATTACTGATTTCAGAGCAGGAATTCGTTGCCTCTGTATTTTACTTCCATTGCTTGGATGTACGTGGGTTATTGGTATATTCTATGTGAACAAATCTACATCATGGATTCAATATTTGTTTTCTTTTTGTAATGGATGTCAGGTTTGTGTTTGATATCTAGAATGTATGTAAAATATGTTATTGTTTTATAAATACGATTTTAAGAGATTGACAAATTAAATGAAATGGTCTAAATGATATGTATATTTTACAGATTGTATTGAAAAAATAATATAAAGGTTACCATAAAATCAAATGTATTCTCGTGTAAATACATATTACTTTTACCAATTTTATCATTTTATCATTTCAGGGTGTTGTAATTTTTATTTTCCACTGCGCACTCAATAAACAGGTATTCAATTTTCAGATATAGTATTTACATTTATATTGAAAAAAAAAACAACAAAAAACAAAAAAACAAACAAACAAAACAATACGTTTTACCATTTTTCTCTTTATCTTTATTGTTACTGTAAATTTAAAGTTTCTGAACGCTATCTATACAATGTATTTCAGATAACGAATGCATACGAAAAGAAGCAAAGAAAATCTACATCTTCTATGCTATTTAATCAAAGTTCAAAGCTACATCGTTTTGTAAGTTGTTTTAGTTCATCATGAAATAGCTGGCTAGCATTGCATTAATATAACCATAAGATAAAATAAAACACAATAGAAAAACATAAAGAAGTAAAATTGTACATTAAAAATAAATTTTCAATACCATGTTATTGTAGAATACCTCAGACGAAAATGTTTTACGTTCACTAGCATTGACAAGTATATTTATACTATTTGTTCACATAATGTGTAACTCGAAATAAAGCTATCATTCTTAAATAAATAACAAAATTATATATTTTTTCAGCAAAAGAAGAAAAAATATTTATCATCATCAGCCTTGTATCTAGTCAACAGTGACACTGGCATAAGCAGTAAGTTAATTTATGTGACAAATAAACTGGTTAGAACATTTTTTTGTATGCATTTTAACTGCAATGACATGTGTAAATTTTCAGAAAATCTAAATGTATATAATTAATTAAACTACATGTACTACAATTTCTGAATTATTATAACACCTTTCATTTATTTTTTTCAGGCTCACGTTTATCAGACAAAGACATTGCAAGCAACGAAAGAAACTCTACTGACAATATAAAAATGGTAAAATATTCGTTTATATTAAAAAAACTTTTTACAACTTATCTTGTAGAGAATCACTTTTTCAATTACTTATGGATTGCTGAAATATTATTGAAATCGGCAATATTACTACTGAAGAAAAATAAGGTATCAGTTGATCTTTCATATTATATTTCTTTTCAAAGCTACAACGCTAGTCATACAGCTCATAAGGTAACACTCAGCAGCATATCAGTTACAAATTATATTTATAAATCTTCACATGTCACGAGTCAGTTTACACAAATTTAGTTAATTTTTACCCATGAAATATGGTGCCATGTCAGTCAAATATATTTCGTATTTGTAGCAAATAAATATGAAATATAAATATGAAAGTGGGCGGAGTCAAAACTCATATTTATTTTAAGGGTCTTCTTTTGCCATTTTGTTTAAAAAATCTGATAAATTAAAAAACAACTTTTGTTGAATTTATCTAAAAAGATAGAAAATGGTCTAACTAAGAAAATAAATCCGAACACCAATATCTTTAATTCAGTCAGTAACGCTGTACATACGTTTAAAGAGTTGTTTACGTGACGTCACAATGTAGCGCCAAATTGCGCGTGCAAAAAAGAGTCAAAACAAATAATCAATATATTACTGCGCGCTGTTCAATTGCAGTTGCGTAGCAAGCTAGGGGTTTCGTTACCACTTTTCTTTGATAATTAAATTAAATAAAAAGGTTATTTTTTTCGTTTTTCGTGAAATATGGAATATATTGTCACTCAACATGATAATATGCCACATATTTTCGCTCGCCGTCCCGGCTCGTGAAAATATGTGGCATTTCATCATGTTGAGTGAAAATAGATTCCATATTTCACGAAAAACGAAAAAATATCCTCTTAGTATCTATCAATATATATATTTCTTTAGATGAAAAAAAATATATTTTAATACGGGGAACGGGCTATAGCTTGCCCGGCTAAAGACTACACGTGTATATTTAAAAGGAAATCAAATAAAAAACAATCAAAATATATAGAATTCAATACCTATCAATGAAATTTTCAGTGTCAGTTCTAGTTGGGCGCCGCCATTTTCAATGTAGCTCAATGATCATAGGCGAGGTATTAAAACGGGAGCGGTGCATACAACATCGAATGACACCTTGAAAACGGAAAAAATAAACTATTTTAAACCGACTTTCCCGTAGATAGGCTTTGCCTAATTTCATATTATTGATAAAACATAGTGTGCCTTTTGTAGGGGTACTATTTGCAAAAGGCGTAAATGTGACGTTTCTTATGATTTTCTCTTTTTCACAGCCTAGTATAAACAAGTATTATTACTTGTTTGTTTTATTCATGTTTCTTTCAAACGCAGAAAATGAATACTCAATCACACTTACGAATCCTATAATGTAACCTTCCCCGATTTAAATTCATTTTAAATTCCCCGGATATGATTGAAAAATATCTTTTAAAACATCCTAACTTTAAGATATATACTTCCAGTACAACGTTCTCAATAGTAATCATACATCACGTGTTCTGAAATATTACACGCAATCAGCTGATTGAAAGAAAGCAACTTGTAATGTACGACATATGTCGTAGTTCAGCACAATTGCATTATATCTTAAATATTTTCTGAAAAGAAATTATTAAATTGAAGAGTACGATGAAAACAAACTGTATGTTTAAGTACCAAGAAGTGATTATGCAAGTACATGCATTTAACAGATACATCAAACAAAATCAATATTATCTTTATTTTATTTTTACATCATTTTTTGTCATTATTTTATGCATTAACAATATCATCAAAACATACCTTACAACTGTATAAAATCTGTACTTATGATTTCATGTTGTATATTTTTCAGAAGAGATTTGAACCTATCAATGCTTTGGGTGAACAGAAATGCAGTTCCCATGAAATGTTATAGATATACATGTACACAGAGTGTTCAGGTGTTTCCTGAAATGGAATTATTTTTTGACTATTGTTCTCTCACATGTCGTACCACGCCTTTGCATGTCGCTTTTCGGTTTTTGTTTGTGAAAATAATTCATGATCAAGAAGTTTATATCCATCCTCTAAATTTCTTATTTTATGTATACCAAGTTATTTGAATAAATCAATGTGTTTGTAAATTTAAACATCAAGATAAAATTATAGATTTTAATCCTTTTACTACGGCAGCAAGTATGTTTCTTTTTCTTTCATTTTATTTTGAATCATTATACATGCATTGTAATTTTTTTAAACATTTTATTTAAATTTTAAGACAATCTTGCCAGCTTTTTGTCTCTTTTTTATACCTTTTCTTTTTATATTTTAGTTTTCTAGATTTTTAATCGGATGTGGCCAATTAAATGTTTGATTAAATCTTATTTTTCTTTCAGACCATAAATCGATACCTGAAATAATTATAACACAGTTAATTTTAAATTGTGTTTTCATTTCCACTTTTTATTCATGTTGATATTTTAACCATAAAAGGTGTGTGATATTTATTATCATGATTTTTGAACATCAATCGTTGTATGCATTTATGTACTTTTCTTGTAAATAGCTGTTTTGTTTTCTATTTTCTTATAATATAAGTATCATGCTATACTTTAAAAGTTCTTGTTACTTCAATCGTGAACCATAACAAATAATCTTGTTTTTTATAAGCTTAAAGCTTTCCCCATGTCGGTGCTATATGTATGTCCATTAAATGATAAAAAAAGGAAATCAAGGATATATGTTGTTCGACTAGAACAATTGAAATATTGAATTAGCAGCTATTAAAGATATGAAAATAAAAGACGATTCATACTTTCTTTCAAATAATCGTAAACTTTTCTATAACCCATGTCTTCAAAACTGCAAATTTAGTATATTGACTTTTTTTTTGTAATGCAACTGAAAATTACGAGCAGCACCAACATTCCCCTGTTTCACATATCGAAAACGGGACAGTAAAATACAATTTATTATATATAATTCTTTAGGAATGCATTTTTCCTTGTTAAGATCTTGTTAAATAAATCAAGGCAATAAAATATTTGTGTGACGCAAAGGGAAATAAGTAACTCTCTTACAGTTATGAAGTCAACAGTTATGGTTGTTGCACTTCTCTTGAAGGAAGGCTATACGTGTTTTAAAGTGAGCATGTATCTGTTGTGTGCGTGTGTATGAGTATGTGTGTGCGCGCGAAATTTCTCCATGACTCATTGATCATGGAAATTGGGTCTGATATCATTTGCCTTTCCGCTAATTCAGAAATTATGCAAGGTAAGCAGCTGGTTACTTGCATAAAAATGGTTATTGATTAGCTATCTAGAAAACATTTCAGGTGGATTGATCACGAAGATATAGCCAAAGTGAACGCCCCAAAACAAACCAAAATTCTATGGACAAATGCGAGATGGAATTTTGGTTGGGTTCATGAGCGTTTCCATTTTCCTATTGCTTATGAGATTTTCTTTTTTGTGTAGCCTCTACAAAGTAGTGGTGACATACAAGTATCACTTCTCCGTCATATGTCTGTCTGTCCGTCCGTCAATGTTATTTGTGTCTCCTGCTACATATTGGCTGGAACATTCAAATCATGAGGCAACACATGATCACCGATAGCTCTTTTTTAAAATGGAACTATTAAACCATTCAATGGCGTCCGTAGAGATAAAAGACGACGAAAAGAATGACGTAATTTTGGGTTAATGTGCTTTTTTTATCAGTACATTACATATTTCCAGTATAAACGTGTATAAAACTATATATTTGATGTATGTGGATTATAAACTAATTGTTTAAAAATGTGAATAAAATCAAACTTAGAATGAAAGAAATATATCAGTGGAAGTTTTTGAAAGTGAGTTGTCCATGTGTTGAACCATTGCTTAAAATAACACAAAAATATTTGCTTTTCTACTTAGTCTACAATATTCATGTAGACATTTTATGTTACAAATCATTAAGGAAATGACCAACCACAATGTTATGACAACAATAAACGTTTACTATTTTTCTTTTAATTTCTATAAACTATTTCATCAGACATAGCTTTATACACTTAAAAGCAGTTAAAAATTCTATAATACTGTAATATGAATGTAAAAAATAAGCTCTCCTGGCACATGTAGCGCTGTAAGGTTTGCTGGATGTTTTGCTGATTGTCCTACGTTGACCAAATATGAAACGTTTGAGATGACATAAAATGTTACGTTTAAAAGCGAATATATTGGTAAAACATACGACGATTTTAACTTCAGATTGACCAAAAGAGACGTTTTTGTGCGTCGACGTAACATATATTCCAACCTTTTGTACCCCAAACTTCTTTCAAACTGCAGAAATATTATTTGGTTTGGTTCAAATTAAAACCGACATTACATAACCTTATATTTCTAAAATCTGAATAAAACTAGTTAAAAGTTTAGACAGATGAAAACAAACATTAGGTCCGATATTGATAATGAAAAAACGCAAAAGCAAAAACAATTTCACTTCCTATTAATCATGTGTTAATATGAGTATGTATTAATTTAGTCATTATCTTTAATGGTTTTCGAAAACAGTTTGATTTTGTAAGTTTGTCATCATGCTTATGTGTTTGCCAGATCAAGTTCACGTCCCTAACCTTTGAGCTGTAACATGTTTTTCTTAAAATCAAAAGGGGTCATTTACCAGTACAAGACAGGGCTGATGTACAAGACAGGGCTGAGTCCCTTTTCCGGCCGAAGGCCTGTCAGTTTTCTTTCTGACTCTCTGTAAAATTTACAGGGAAGAACTGAATCTAAGAATAATTTTCATTGGTCATTTTAAAATTATAAAATGGTATCGGGGAGTTTCATTAGCCATTCTTAAATAAAACGTTAAGGATAGTTCTTGTCATTTTACGATCATAGAGTTCTAAACTAAAATGTAAAAAAGGACAGTTTTTGTCATTATGAAATAAAATGTAAAAGATATGTCTTAAATAAAATGTACAGGACAGTACTTTAACTTTCTAGTTAAATTGCTCGGATATTTAAGTTCTGTTTAACAATTCTTCTTTCATTCAGATCTCATTACATTTTCTAGTGAACAGTGTATTTTTACGTAAGAACTTACTGAGTTTATTTTACACAAGATCTGAGTTTTAAAGTTTGCCCAAAATAATGAGAATAATATCAGAACTGTTCAAGTACTCTTAGGTTATGATGTTCAATATTGAAGTGTCTTATATATTATATGATTTTCGATGTTTTCAATTGATATCATGTTTTTAATTTATATATATTTTTGCACATTAATCAAATATTTATAAAAAAGAAATTGCCTAACAGACTGCGTATATATTGGTGTTAGAAATTGAGATCACTTACCGAAACACGACAGGTTTGTTTAGAAACACATACTCGTACATCTTAAAGTGTTACATTTTTCAAGATTAATAGCCCTACAAGAAATTATAATGTCATTGTCATGGCAGCTATTCTGACATTTCTATATGACTTTGCATGGAAAACTAAGAACTTACGTATGCAAGTTAACCAGTTTTATTTCGGCCGAGTATCTTTTTTAAAGATACTTCTTGTTACGAGTAAAGTGATTAATCAGACAAGGTTAACAGGACGCACTATGGACGGACACATGCCATCTCCCATCATAAATACTTGCATGTACATCTTTTAGTGATTTTAGCCATATTAAGTATAATATTAAGCAGTTTATTTTCTTCGGAAATTGAAGAAAAGACATAAATGCACAATAACTTAAATGAAGAATAAGATTATGTTAAAACGTATCATTTATACATGCATGGTAACATTATTCTTTCTTTATTTGTTATGTGTTCATTTTTTAATTATTTATCGTACAATCTAATCTTATGTCAATACTATTAAGCTTGCTTATTTCTTTTATTTCAATAGAACTTAAACCTGAATAAAAAAATCACACAAGCGGTCATGTTTTATCAACTTAGCTAATTATACTTTTGCAATAAAAAAAAGTTCATTTGATCAAACTATGGAGAGGTTATTAAGTAAATACCGCGCTGCTGATAAGCTATTCAGTAAAAGCTATTTGTGTTTATGTAGCAAATAGGTCCGGTTTTTAAGTTAAAAGTTCCTGATTTTTTGAGAAAAATATCTTTTGATGTGTACAGATCTAATACAAAAAGAGGAGGATGGGAAGTGATAAAGACAATGGATAGGATATATTTAAAACTCATAGCTACCTTATTGTTTGGTAAGAACGTTAATAGATTTTACTTTATCCATAGACAGATTTTACTTTTATTATTTACTTTTCAATAAGTAATGTAAAGTAAACATATATTACGCTTTAAAAATAAATTAGAAATGTATTTGATTTCTTCAGCAAGGTCTTTTGTGAATATGTTTCAAGTTATTATTCCATAATACTCTCATATTATGAATAATAAACTGTGTAAAGGGAATTTTATTTTAGTTGAAGGTACCTACAGTTCTGCAGTAACACTTGAAGCTTCCAACCAGCCAGTTGTGAATGAATCTGTTACTCTGACTTGTACATATACAGGAAACGAAACCGTAGATTATTTTGTGTGGAACTATTTGTGGAAAATTTTAGACATACTGTGCGTGGACACGTGTCATTCAACTTACGAAACGGACGATGATTATCTCAACCTCTTTCGAGTATATGAGCTCAAATGTCCAGAAAGAAATTCAAACTCAATGTTATTTGAAAATGTTCCTTATTTGTCTCGTAATACTTTTATGTTGTGTACCGCAGTAACAAAGAGTCAGAACTTTTCTAGTGACCCGCTTTATGCGCGTACACTTGGTAAGTTTTGTTTAAAATGATTTGCTAGCAGTTATTGACCTGCAAGTATATAATGGTATAAATTGTCAATCAGTTGTTTTTATGGTTTATTTCCATAAACTATAAATCGCAAATGACATATTGACATGTTTAGAAGAAGCATGTAGGATATAGCTCCAGCAGATCTTTACATTACATTATTTTCATCGATTTATGATCATGAGCACATAATTTTAAACATAGATCTTTTTTTTATTCATTTGGTATCCGCCATCATATCGTGCAAAAATACTTTGAAATTTATAGATGTGAACAACATTGCTACTATAACCATTATAACATCAGCCTTATATAAATAGATATAGAAAAGTAAATAAATGTAACATAAAGTTTATTGGCACTATCATTTAATATATACTGATACAATTTTAAGTCTTTTATCACCGGTGCGCAATTTTAATGTAATTTTGTTGTGATTAATGCTTCCAAGAGATCACTTTTTTTCCAGATATTTTTTTTTATTTTGTGAACTATTTTCTGAATCTTAAAATGTCTTCTATCGTATGATTGTTACCATTTAACAAATCTTATAGTTCCAGTATCTGAAGCAAGAATGAGTAAACCACACAGCCCTGTGATTTATATCAGAGAAAATGATGTGGCACGATTTGAATGCTCTGTTTCTGGGTTTCCGTCGTCTGAAATAAGATGGTTTAAAGATAATGTCACTCCGCTGGATTATACAGATGATATAAGAATAACAGAAGATATTTCTACTTGGTTTACTGCTGATTACGAAACAGCTTATGACTTTAGCTATTTGAATTATACTGCAAAACGGACTGATAACGGCATGTCAATTTACTGCACAGGAAATAACTCTGCTAATCGGTCTCCCGTGTTGTCTTCATTGAAGCCAATATTGTTTGTTCAAGGTAAACAATCTCATGTCATCAATAACATGATGTATATGTTCTGATTTAGTAGTATTTAGATTCATTTCAGGATTTTAATGATTAAAATATTTATTATATTCTTTATCATTTAAACGAATGACTAAGTTTATATCTATTTAAATGAAACAACTATCACAGATATAAAACAAATGATAACTGCATAGTAAAAATGGTTTTCATCAAGATCTTTTTTAATACGTTTTTACAAAAAATGACAAAAGGACCGATAATTTACAAAACTAATAAATACTCCAGGATCACAGGATTTACAGGACACTGCCATTTTTTGTTTGTTTGTTTTTGTTAAGTGATGTTATGCACATTCAAGTGAAAGGATGAGTAAACAGATTAGTTTAAAGTCAAATAGCATTACATTTTGCATAAAAAATTGAACTATTTGTCTATATCACTTTATCATATTCAACCGCTCGCTGCCATTAAATTGTACCACATGATCATCTAATATATATCTTTATGGCGTTCAATTTAAATAGATTCCATTAGACAACTCATGGCGTATGGCACTTTTCAAGTAACGCCAACGATGAACACCATTAACAACAAAAGTATCCAAATGAAATTTACCATACACTGGCTGTCACAGATATATTTAAACTCTTTAAAAAGACTCTTTAAACAATGATATATTAATCTACAGGCTCACTATTTTTGCATTTATCTACCACAATTTGATATAGAATAAACAGGCTTTTGACATTGAATAAAACTGGATACATTTAGACTCGCTCAATTTGACTTGCCTGCCTAGTTGTCAATACATTCCTGTATTTACAGTTATTGCTGAATAACCTTTCGCTTGTAATTATAGCGACCCACTGCCTAAAGGAAGTTGACTTACGTATGATGCAATGGGAGAAGACGGACCTGGGAAAAAATGCGTCCGTATCATGTTCATCGTACCTCCCAGGTAAATCAAAGTTTATTTCATAGAGAAACTGTCTTATCGAACGCATTGCAAATGATACTTGTTGTTAAAAAGCATGCACATTTTCTTTAAATCAAATTTCAACCGTTATAATGCAGTCATCGTAAGCATATTCACTTACTTTTTCCATTTATTATTTAAGATAAAATAGCAAAAAATCAATCCGAATGCTGTTAGAAAAATACATCAAATAGAAAATGTTGATACGGGTTTCAAATTGCATTTTTAAATTTCAGAATTGTCAGGCCTTATTTCCCGTCAATGCTTGGAAAATGGAACCTGGATGCAGCCGATATATGACTGTATAAGTACTGATGTAGCAGATATACAGGATATCGTAAGATTAAATGAAACTTTCGTAATCAAGAAGTATTAATGAAATATATAAGTATGTTATTTTGTAGATTATTAAGAAAACGTTTACTAGTAGCTATTTTACTAAAATCTTTGCTTATTTTTTATATCATAAGCAGAATAAGAGGGTAACATCTTAATAGCTGTTCATAATCTTTCTTGATTGAAATGTATGTCATTAAAATACATATAATATTTTTTACAAAATTGTTCTCCTTAGGTAAACAAGTGTTTCGAGATTAACCAGTTTCGCGAAATCAATAATTTATTAATAACATGTCATATTACTCTTATTAAAAAAGGTTTTCAGAATCAATAGCGGGAATTTCTCTAAAGAAATCGGAAAAGTTCTTCAGAAGGCATCGGAAGTGACGGCAAATCAAGATCCAGACAAAGCATTTCTCTGTAAAGATCTCGACGTGATAACTCAAACGTTAGAGAAAATAGTTTCTTTAGAAGACTGGGCAGTTACTTTAAATCAGTCTAAAGTAAGTAAACAGATAATTGTTCCATAACTTTATGACAGTTTTTTTTAAAGCGTTTATCTTTTTATCAAAATTTGTTAACATGCGATATGCCTTTTCTTAATTGAAAACTTATATTTTATTACTGCAGTTTTTAAGTTACTCCCTGCAAATTATCCTTGCTTATATCTTTCCGAACTCAGAAAAATTATTAAAAGCATTAACTTTGGGATCGTTTTAGGACATCATAAAATAATGTACAAAACCAGAGGTACGAAGGTTGTCCAAAAAATTCGTGCACTGCAGTTATTGTCGTGAGAGTTATTGATAGAAAAAACATGAATCATATATCACTTGAAGGGGAAATCTGTCTCAAATAAGAAAATAAAAGAAAAAAGTGATACCGGCATGTCGTGAAAACGAATCGTCATACAGTTACCTTGGTAACGTAATACCGGCGCACGACAAAAAAATTGGGTTAGTTCATTAATTTGATGCATCACGGTATTCTTTTAACACTACATATAAACGTTAAAATTCAGGGAAAAGTGTATGTACGTATTCCTAACGTCACTAGAAAATATGACATCATTTGCCTTATTGTAACGGTCGTAAACAAACATTTGTGTGTGGTCGTCAATACTGTAATTACGTGAAAATGTCAGTCGCTAAATGTCTGAAGATACGGATCATTAGATTTTGTGCAAATATTGGTAAAACACCAACATATACCTACACAGAACTTAAAAGAGCAAGCGGGACAAGTTCAGTGTCACGAAGGCTGGTTTTTAAATGGCACAAACGCTCTGTAGAAGGGCGAGAGTCGGTAGACGATGACAACCGGTCAGGCAGACGTCCGTTCGTAATGCCGGCGCATGTGACGAGGGTTGTCCAATATATTCGTGCACTGGTGGAATATGTTACATGTACGTTGCATAAGAACAATAAAAACTACAAAATACTTTGCATCAATCATGCCTCTATTGACAGTAAAACAAATTATAACATAAAAAGAAAATGCCACTTTACAAGCAACAAACAATTTATACAATAACAGTAATGAACTAACCCAAATTTTTGTCGTGCGCCGGTATTACGTTACTAAGGTAACTAACTTAATGGCCATTCTTTTACGCGACACGCTGGTTACTCGGCTTTTTCTTTTGTTTTCTTATTTGAGACAGATTTCCCCTTCAAGTGATATATAATTCATTTGTTTTTATTTATAACTCTCACGACTATAACTGCAGTGCACGAATTTTTTGGACAAACCTCGTAACAACCTTATCATATTTTTCAGAACTTTATGATGACTGTAAGCAATATTCTTGAAACAATGAACACAATCGTCTTGCAAAGCAATTCTACAAACTTGAAGGATACTAAGGTAAATAAAAGCAAATATTCAAGTAAACGAATACACTTTTGGTGTCGCCGAGTGTATGTTTGGAACATGTCTTTCTTTACCTACAGATCGCTTTTCATGGAATGGTATAAGTTTCATGATAAACGCCGTATCAGAATCAGAATTCGAGAAATTTATTTTTATTAATTAAACGTATCGTGTATTTTCTTATAAGTTAATATATCATCATATATTTCATAAAAATTATTGTATCGTTGCTTTTACATATTTGATTTGTACAGTGTTACCAAGGAGTATGGAAACTTCTTAATATCGCCAGTGCGTTTTCTACAATTCTTGGAGGAACCTTAGATGAGACCACTTCTAACAAAGAGAGAACAATACACACCGAGAATGTTCGTAAGTTGTATCATCAAGAAATGCTTTACAAGTATTTAATTGTTCTTAAAGTATTCGATTCATGAAAGCATCTTAAACATGTTAAAATATCGAACTATCATAAAACTTTAAAGACATAAGTGTTATTTTTAACTATCAAAATCTACATCAAATACAGATCTTGTGATTAATCATAACTTAGTACTTTATTTAATTTTATGTATGCTATATATTTTAATCAAATCATGCATAAGCTATTCTACTTGTTATAAAATATCGTTCGTTGGGTATTAGTACTTCAGGTGAATCAAGTGAACAGTTCTAGTTCTGTTGGACTCACGTTTCCAGATGCCGATAAATATCCTGAACTCTCACAAATAGCCACTTTAAAACTATCTGTTGATTCTTTGAAAGGTAAAAGAAATTCATACTATGATTAAGATGATTTCCATACCTTAGAAAAAGTAACTTTTTAAAGGAATACATTAAATTTTGTTCTTATTAATTTAAAGGTATTTTGAAACAAGCGAAAATCACATTTTTTCATCACGGTAAATACACATACTTATTTTATGCGTTTGAGTGGATTACTGATTTATCCATTTAAATTATATTTGATAATTTGGTCGTTAAAAGATTAACACAAACTGATCAATGAAATTGGATTTAAACTCGTATGTAAGTATTAAATAAAAATGTTTGTTTTTTGTGCAAGATGTAATTTAAGCTCACACGATAAAATAAAATTTCATCTTACACAAAACCAAACCATCATCTTAACATCAATCAAATGGAAACAAGTTCAAAAGTTAAAATGCATATATTTAACTAGCGAACCTTTATATTTAACAGTTGTTCTTAGAATACAATTGAAATATAACTTGATATATTAAATAGTTTTAAATGTCCAATCAATTTATTTTTAAGGATCGACACTGTTCTATGGTATACTATATAAAAATGTGTCTGCTTTGCTAGCAGCAGAAACTACATATGACAGGTATATATATAAACAAATGTTGTTGTTGTTGTTTTTTTAATTTCAAGAGAGCTATAAAATGATAGAACTTTAAAAGATAATCCTAAGGGAAACAATCCAGAAAATTCAAAGTTGATTAATTTGCTTGTGTTTTCTTTCACAAGATAGATCAAGAATCACATTTTCATAGCATGAACTCGATAATGCATTTTTTGTGTGATGAGCAACGTTCTAATTTTCAATACCTAAAACGATTCCATGTACTACTTTTAAACTGCATTTTGTAATATATATTTGCATTTGAAATCAATACGCATCTATTATTTTAAGTTTTAGCTTTAAAAATGGTTTTCTGAATTCTGCTGTGATGGGTGCTAAACTGGACAACTGGAAAAACAATAGTGACTTCAAAGTTACCATTAAATTTCAACACTTGAAGGTAATATAATGTTAATTGAACTATTTCCCCGGCTTACAGTGGTGCTCTGTTATGAATTTTTATTACGAATTTTAATGAGAACATATTTAAACTAATAGCTATACATTTGAATAGTAATTGATTATTTTTTTATTTACACTGTAAAGTGCAATGCGCATGTTTTTATACATTGACATATTTTCATTTTTACAGTCACTCAATTTTGCTTTATAATAATTTTCTAGGAAAGTAACTGGCGAAAAACGTGTACTTTCATGTCTGAAAACAGGTAAATATAAACTCTCTTATGTTTTTTGTTAAAAGATTGCCAATTAATTATCCATTTTTAAATTTGTTTTAATTTTTTCTACTTTTTCAATAACAGAAACACATTCATATAACGTAACGTAACGTTGACAGAAATGTTCTTTGATAAAAACACCAAAATCATACATATAACGCAATTTTTATCAAGAGACTAAACATTTTATCTTGAACTTTACATTTTTTTTAAATAATAGCTGGTATATTTGTAAAATATAGCACAACGTGGATGAAAGAAGGGTGCTATGTGAAAACATCAGGTTCAACAACAACCACTTGCGACTGTAACCATTTGACAAACTTTGCAATTCTTATGAGTCCTTGGACAGAGGTAAAACATTACGATTATTTTATTCTTGATCAGGGTTTACTCAGCAAAACCATGAAAAGACTGGTATGTGTACGGCTAATTGCTGATTTCATTGCTGACATTCTTACTGTTTTAAAAATAAATGCAAGTAATATGTTCACGTGTATGAATACATGTGTATGCAAATGACGTAGTATTTTACAAACATACGACACCGCATAATAAACACAGTGCTGATTTTATTGCTGATATTCTTATTGGTGTAAAATAAATGCAGGTTATTGGTTCATATGTATCAATTATTTTACATGTAAATTCACATTATTGAGTGTACGACACTCAATAATCAATATTCCTTGGCAAAAGCTGGTGAGAGAATGCAAATTCTTTCCACGCAAATGTTGTAAAATGATAACATTTTTATATGTGAATTAAAGAAATGCCTTGCAACATATCGAGAAATGAAATGTCTTTCTTTTTCTTTAAATATTTCCGTTACATCTAAAGTACTGATTACGAGCAGATCTCGGTATTCTTCTTCAGAGAAGATTCTCAACATTTCCAATAATCCTTTATTCTATGGTTTGTTTTTGTCATTTTGGTATATAAACATATATCTGTCGGAAATTATACATATTGATTAACGACTTTTATGACCAGAAAACAAAATTAAAAGTATAAAGGAAGAATGACACAACATGTGCTTTTAAATTTCATATTACCTTTATTTATCTTCAGAATAGCGCAGAAACAGAAACATTGAGAATCATAACTATTGTCGGCTGTTCTTTTTCAACTTTAGGTTTAGTAATTACTGTCATGATACATTTATACATGTGGAGGTAACATAACGTGTTTTGATATACAAAATCGTTTTCATACATAATTCTTTTAATTGCCAGAATGTAATTACTGATACCGAACTGATAACCATTGAAGCTTTTTATAAGCATTATTAATTTTAATATGATAACTTAAGATAATAAGATAAATGTAGTAATATTTTAGAGCAAATGATGCATATAATTTTCAATATATGTAAATGAGTGTGCATTTGCTAGATATATTGATGAATCAAATTAAACATTGATTTATAAGTTTTCATGTCAAAAACATTTTTCATCATTGCTAAATGCAATTTGATATTGCAGGTATTTGAAATCAGATAGAGCTACTATTTTGATGCACTTATGTGTTGCTATGGCAACATCCTATGTTATTTTCCTCGGCGGTGTTGACAGAACAAACAACATTGTATATTCTTTAACGATATGTGCAGGGTCTTTGAGCAAAACACAATACGTAGTTAAGTTATATGCGTTAATAAAATATTGACACCAGTTGTTGTTTTTGATGATGTTTAGAAATTAAAAAAGTTTTAAATTTTTTTTTACTTGTAAATGAAACAAATGGAAGTTTCATCTGAGGTGTATCCGCTAACATTAATATGTCTTTGACATTCATATATACATGTATGTATACATCCAGCAATAAGTTAAGACGTTTTGTTGCCGTATTAATGTCGAATTCAATTATATGTCATGTATTACCCTTCTTTCTGTTTGTCTAATTTCAGTTTATATTGGGCATCATAAAACTTAAAATTTAAGGTTAGAGCTCTTGATCTTTATGCATAATTATCTTCCAATAGGATTTATGTACAACAGTTGCAGTATTATTACAATACATATACCTGGTTGTGTTTTTCCTGATGTTAGCGGAAGGTATTGAAATATCTGTTGCTGTTTTATACGTGTTTGCAACGAAACCAAGAATTAAATGGATTCTTACATTCGCTTGGGGTAAATTGTTTTTTAGATTTATTTTTCATCTGTTGAAGTAAAGTTAAAAGACATTAACAATTAAACAATCAGTTTTTATCCATTCAATCATATGTCTATAAGTTAAATTGAAAAACAATTTGTTTTTTGTTTAGAAGAAAATAAAATAACACTTATTCGCATAAATTGAAAATGGGTTTTATTTCTGGCTTGACAATCAAGTATAAATGCAAATATTTACAAATATTTTACCAAACAATTATTAGACAAGAAATCAATGAATTTGCAAAGTTTAAGACTTTTACTTATGTACTTTAAGTGATTATAAAATTGTTTTTTTTAGTTATTCCAGCTTTTATTGTCGTGTTAACCTTGGCAATTACAAAGATGAAAGGATATGGAACTAAACATTTGTATGTTTAATCTTTTCATTTTCAATTTTTTTGTTAACGTTTAGCGAATATTTTATACTTACTATGATGTTTAGAAGACCTTTAACAAACTAGTGGCAGTTGTAATAAAAGATTAAGTTTTTTAATGACATTTTATTAGATCGTTTATAAATTAAACATCAACAATAATTGAACCTGTATAACGCTAGATATATACAGATTTTATGACTCTGTTACTGTTACTGTTCCCTTTAATACATGAAAACATGAGTAGGTTTGAGCTACGATATTTGTTTGATTTGTATTTCAGTTGTTGGTTATCAGTTGACAATGGACTTATTTGGGCATTTGTAGGGCCAGCTTTAATCATTATTCTGGTATATTTAATACAATTCGGTTGTTTGAAATATTTCGTTAGGTTCGTTAGGTTTTTCGAACACCATACAGACGCTGTTAAGCGACTTTCCATTTTTGCTGGTCGAGGAAGACCTTTGTGCCCCAGCTTGTGTTATTTAAGGCGCAAGCGAACGCTACTTGATAGAAAGTTTCTTCACATCAGATTTAATTGAAATTTGAAAAAGTTCAAATAATATCGTTAGCATATTTTACCATATGCAAAGCAATAATGTACATTGACTTAAGATAATTTTGATTAAGCTTATTAGACTATTCTCTTTTTATTGCAAAATAAACACTGTCAATATCATATATTTTCACAAAAATGGCGTTGACTACAACATAAAACGAGAGTGCATGTCCTTTGACCTGTAATAAAGCACTTAAACAAAATTTATACTGCTAAAAGTGTTAAAGAGTTATGTCCACTATTTTCGTACCGATAGCCGCCATCCACTCTATATCAGTTTTAAATGACAATGTATTGTTCTTTTGCCAGACAAATGCTGTGCTTCTTGGCTTTGTTATAAGAGCCGTATTAAACGTGAAAAAGATCAGACAAAAACAAACCCATTCTAAAATTGTGTAAGCATGTTATTTACTTTGAATGTTTATGTCACGTTTAAGTTGATTAATATTTATAGCATTTTATTAGAAAGAAAGCCAGATAGATAAACTAAATGGATGATTTATTTATATCGTTGTTTTACATCTCGTTCTGAATTATTTTGTAAATCATGCTGATTACTGTTTTCAGAGCAGGAATTCGTTGCCTCTGTATTTTACTTCCATTGCTTGGATGTACGTGGGTTATTGGTATTTTCTATGTGAACGAATCTACATCATGGATCCAATATTTGTTTTCTTTTTGTAATGGATGTCAGGTAACATTCTTGTCTTTCAAAGCAAACAACACTACGTTTGCTATCTTTCCTTGCATTAGAATACAGAATGTCAAAGATTTGTGTTTGATATCTAGAATGTATGTAAAATATGTTTTTTTTAAAGATTTTAAGAGACTGACATAATAAATGAAATAGTCTAAATAACATGTGCATTTGACAGATTGGATTGAAATAATTTAATATAACGGTTACCATAAAATCAAATGTATTCTCCTGTAAATACATGTTTGAATCAATTTTATCATTTCAGGGTGTCGTAATTTTTATTTTCCACTGCGCACTCAATAAACAGGTATTCAATTCTCAGATATAGTATAACATTTAAACAATACGTAATAACATTTTTCTCTTTATTTTTATTGATACTGTAAATTTTAGGTTTCTAGACGCTATCTATACAACTAGACGCTATCTATACAATGTATTTCAGATAACGAATGCATACGAAAAGAAGCGAAGAAAGTCTACATCTTTTATGAACTTAAACCGTAGTTCAAAGGTAGTTAGCATTGTATTTATATAATCATAAAATATATAAAAAATAAACAGAAAAACATAAAGTAGTAAAATTGTACATTTGAAATAAATCTTCAATACAGTGTTCTTCTAGAATCCCCTCGTAATTTAATCTCAGACGGGAATGTTGTACGAACACTAATTGAAAAGTATAATTGTACTAATTGTTCACATAGTATATAACTCGAAATGTAACAATCATTCTTTAAAAAGAATAACAAGATTATATATGTTTTAGCCAAAGAAGACAAAGTATTTGTCAACATCAGCCTTGAATCTTGTCAACAGTGACACTGGCATAAATAGTAAGTTTTAATACTATAATTGTCATATTTGTCTTTGTAAAGTAAGCAAAAACTATCTTGCACCGATTTTGTTTCAAATCTAAACGTATGCGTACTGAAATGGCTATGATTGACAACTAAAATTAGTCAAATATATGCTTTGAAAATATATCACGCCCTAGTGCATAATTAAATATGGCTACGGATTTAAGTCTTGTCCTGTGACTTTGTTATTATGCTACAAATGAAATGGTAAAAGCATGTGATTGTTTGCATACATGTACCTATTTGGAGTAATTTGGTCATTAAAAGACAGTAACGCAAAACTACAGATGTACTTTAGCTTTCGGCACACCACTGACGTACAATAAAATATTGAAAATTGCCATTAACGACAACATATATTACAGAACTACAATGACATGTGAAATTCAGAAATAAACCTTATTATTTTCCAGGCTCACGTTTATCAGACAACGACATTGCAAGCAACGGAAGAAACTTGGCTAACATTACAGAAATGGTAGAATATACGTTTATACTTTAAAACTTTCTACAACTGATATGTTAGAGAATCCTTTTTAACTATTTAAAAACCTTACATATCATCAAAAGCGGCAACATTTGTACTGAGGTAAAAATAAGGTATAAGTCAATCTTTTCGCCACAGCGCCATTTCATCATGCAGCTCTTAGGAAACACCCATCAGCTTGTCAGTAACAAATTATATTTAAAAATCTTCACATGTCACGAGTCAGGTTACACAAATGTATCTATTAATTTATATATTTAATCAGATGAAAACAGATATTTGAATAGGCTATTGATAAAAACATATGTATGCATTTACGTTATGTTTGAAAAATAACTTTCAACACATCCTAACCGTAAGATTAATATTTCCTGTACACGTTCTCTTCATTTGAAGTATACATGTTTTCATACATCACGTGCTCTGAATTGTTACACGTAATCAGCTGATTGAAGAAAAGCAACGTGTAAGGTACCTGTTTCGTAGATCAGCACAATCTCATAATTTCTTTAATATTTCCTGGAACGAAGTTATTCAAATTGAAGAGTCCGATGAAAACAATTTTAAATACCAAGAAGTGAATATGCAAAGAACATGCAAGAACATGTATTTAACTTTTTTTTAAAGTTTTGTCCGTATTTTTCAGATATATCAAACAGAATCAACATAATCTTTTTTTTATTTTACTTCATTCTTTGGTCATTATTGTATGCATTAACAATATAATTAAAACATATCTTACAGCTGGTTTATACATATTTAAAATCCACTACTTAAATATAAAATTTGCACTTTTCTGTTTGCTTTTTTTCAGAAAAGATTTGAACCTATCAAGGCTTTAGGTGAAGAGAAACCCATTTCCCATGAAATGTAATAGATGTACACAGTGATAAAGTTCAAATGTTTGGAGCTCTTTGCTGAAATAGAATTATTTTATGACTATTTTTCTCTGATGTGTTGTACTACGCTTTTCAGGATCATTGCAAGTTGCATAGTGTTCTTTTGTGGATAAAAAATGCATATTCTTTAGATTTCTTTTAAATGTATTCCAAGATATCTAAATAAATCAAAGTGTTTGTAAATGTAAACATCAAGATAAAATTAGAATTATGTTACTTTAAACTGTTTTGCTTGTATTACATTTTTGTTTTGTATTATTATATGTTTTGTATTGATAAAATTTTAAGACTATCTTGAAAACTTAAATTTTATGTCTCTCTTCTCATACAATTTCTTTTATAATTAAGTTTATGGATTTTTCAGTGGATGTGCCCAGTTAAATTTCTGATGAAATCTTTTTTTTCTGAGCATATCCCAACTTGATACCTGAAATAGTTTTATAACACAATTGATTTTGCATTATTTTTTTATTTCCACCTATTTATTGTTGATATTTAACTATAAAAGGTGTGCGAAATTTATTATCATGAATTTAATCATCAATAGTTTCGTTGTATGCATTTATGTCTTTTCTTGTAAATTGTTGTAATATAAGTTTCATGCTAGACTTTAAAAGTTCTTGTTACTTCAATCTTGAACCATTGCAAATAATGTATAAAGCTTTAAAGTTTAGTTCTTTCCCCAAATCGGATCTACATGTTATTTCATTAAATGATATAGGAAATCAAGGACATAGGTTGATCGACTTAAACAATTGAACAATTGAAATATTGTATGAGGAGCTATCAAAAAAAAAATACAATAGAAAAAGATTCATGCTTTTTTCAAATAAACGTATTTTTAATAAAGAAACTTTCTCCAAAACTGCAAGTTTTGTATATTGACTTTTAAAGGAAATGTAATACAAATGAGAATAACGAGCTGCGCTAACATTCCCCTGTCTCTCACAGTTATGAAGTCAACAGTAACTGTTATGGTTGTTGCACTTTTCTTGAAGGAAGGCTCTACATGTTTAAAAGTGTGAGCATTTATTGTGTGCGTTGGTGTGTGAGTATGTGCGTGTGCGAGAAATTTCTCCATGACTAATTGATATTGGAAATTGAGTCTGATAAGCATATGTCTTAAACTACATCAGTATTTACCGGTTACGTGATTTTTTCCCATAAGCTACATGTACTTGTAGGCCAGTGGCTTTAAGGATTTATTTCCTTCATTGTAATTGCCAATGTTACTTAAGGTAGATAGAAATAGAAGAGTTGATCGTCCGTCTTATAAGAACTTGGTAGAAACGGTCTAAGACTTAACGTAAAAGTTCTAAAGTTGGAGCGTCTAATAAAAACTCGCATGTTACTTGGATATTCGTTGGAAGATATTTTCAGCGAAATTATGGTTGTTTAATGTTATACTTCGCTGTCTTATGACATTCTTTGTTGGTTGGAAAAGAAATTTCATTCCTGCATACAGGCTATTGAAAAAGCACCAAAACAGGCATACCAAAGCTTACGATCGCATAAATAAAACCTCGCAAAAGGAAAAGAAATCATTGAGAAAGATGCTAGGTATCCAGGGCATGATACAACACAAATCGTAGGTATATCACTATCAACGGTACTATTTATTCTGTAAAAACACACAAAAACAACAACAAAACTGAATAATAGAAAGATTAGTGCTATGCGGGTACCTCATTACTTACAGATGAACACAAAAGTAACGTGGTAAAATTTCCCAAATACACCAAATGTTTCCAAAATGCGACCAATTCAAATAAGTTAATGCAGTAACAGGCGCTGAAACATTGATTCACTATTTTGAGTCAGTATGAAAACTAGTTATAAAATTGGCAACTAGAAACTGCTAAAGACCTATTATTGGAATACGCACTTTAAACGTAAAGAAAGTGTTGAACGCAATTTTCTTTTCAATTAAACTCATTTATGTCAAAGACAAAAGGGTACAAGCATAACAGAGAAGTACAAGTGAGACGTCGAGCTGAAGAAACTGAAATAGTATTACCCAAACCCGACGTCCGGTCACAGGGTTTAAACACATTCGGCTTCTTCATGATAACTTGCCGGCCCATACCTTTACAGTAGTCTTCAACTTCTGCAAGAGAAATTCAATGTTCTCCCTCATCCCATATGTTCTCGAGATCTTGCACACTGCGAATGTTTCTTTTCCTCTTTCCAAAACTGAAAACTTACGTTGCTGGTTGAAAATATCGGTCTAGACAGGCAGGGATTTGCTGTTTTCCAGTACCTTAGTACCGTGACGCCTTTGGGAACTAAAATTGTGTATGCAAGACATTGGAAATACTTTGAAGGTATGAAGTAAAGAAACGGGTATTTATTTCAGTTTTTAGTGTTTAATGAGAAAATCAGCAATTCTTTTCGAACAGCCCTCGTATGCTTACTTTTCACATTTATACAATAGGTATAGTAGATATACAAATAATCGAAGACGCTCTTGAGTAGGCATCGATTTAAACTCTGTTTTTAAAGTATTGGAAGAAATGTTATGTCCGAAAACTAAAATTACAGTGCCAAAGGAAATGTTTGGTAGTTGGTTACTTGTATTTTAGTTATCAACATTTACATACTTATATTACATCAATACTTGATATTATTTAAGCTCCCATTTTGTTGTGTCATGTTTAATCAAACCGATTAGATAACTATTACTTGGCAACTTAGGGCCTGAACAAGTAGAAAAAAACACATGTTATAACAACAAATGTGTGCATTATTTAAGATACGAACTTGTACATATGAAAAACCAACGACCTTCAGTCATACAAAATTAAACTGTAATCAATTAAATATTATCTTTCTTAAAGACTTAACATATTGATAGCACGCCGGCTTGATTTAACTAGTCCTATTTGGTTTCGGTTGATTGTAAATTGAAATAGGTACAATAATGACGTTTTGAAAACCTGTGATAGGTTATCACAAGTATGTATGACAAGTAAACAAGCGTATTTTTATCAATGATATAATGATATAAATGTTTGTATTTAAAATTTAACTTAAGTAGTTATAAAATCGACTTTGTAATCAACTTGTTTCCGGATGAAAATAAAGTACCGGTAAAAGATTTGATCCTGATATGATATTTTGTAATAAGGAATGTTAATATAATGTAATCTAAATATTATCAGCTAAATTGATAATTTATACAGCGAATTACGTTATAATTCTACAATACAAAATATAGTTCCAAAGTTTACATCAAATAAATAATTATGTCATATACTCGTACGTTTATCTCAAGTCGCGACTGGAATCTCATATGACAGAATACGCATCATTTATGCGCATTCATAGTTGCTACAAACTAGATGTAAACCTTGTGCTCGATCTATGCATATAAATTTTCAGTATGACTGTTCAAACAATAGAATGCACTGTAAGTGAACATCTGATTTATAAAGCGATATGTGGCTAAGGACATATTTTAAACTAATAAAATTGTTTATTTGTATTTCGCACATTATACTCTTCAAATACATGTATTGTACGATCATGCAAATCTTTTATTGTTATTTAAAAGAACCGAAGTACAAGTTATAGAACGATTATAAGGGTTCACTATTGAAATCGTTTAGGTTTTTAATTTGACATTATTAGCATAACTTCACATTATCAGCATAACTTCCTCGATAGATATGAAATTCAGATAATGATCATTCAATTCTCATTAATTAAGATAGTCTTGAAAGAAATATCTTCCAATCTTGAATAACTTCTTTCAATATTTATCTATCAAGCTTTTTAAATAAATAAAATGTATAAAAATTCAAACATATATAGCCAAAACTATCAATGCTTATCAATGACAAGAGATAAAAATATCCTTATATTTTAGAAGGTTAGAAAAAACGGTCTCATTTATGTATGTGGATTTAATAAGTTTACCATCACTCCAATTACTAGTTTGGGATAAAGAGGTGCGCAAATCTATTTGAGGTCACTTTGATTATTAAAGAATGGATATTACATCAATAATTCTCTTTAACCTATTATCTTTCGGTAAGACAGTTTATTAATGAGAAACCAGTTTATTCTACATGTTTTTGTTTTATCTAATCTAAAATTAAGTCAAGAATGTGATGTCAAGAAATAAAAATCAGAATTAAATTATTCATTGCTGTTAAAAACTTACTTTGATCCTGCTTTGGTAGCAACATTTTATATTTTGAAGTATTTATTACGGACAATTTGCACGGAAACCAACTCATTTTTCAGATAAGACTCCCGATTGCGAAAAATAGGTCAATTGAATTATAAGATCAGTGTTTTATCAACTTTAAATAGCCAAATTCTAAACTTATACGTATGTTAAAACAAATGATGAAAAATTACAAAATATGAATTTTGATTATGATTTTCTTTCTTAATAGTTTTATGAACACATAGTACTATGTTTTTATTAGTTACAGATACATACAGCTCTTCTGTCAATCTTGTGACAGAGCCAATTCAGAATGACTCTCTATCACTGACGTGTAGATACACTGGAAATGAAACCGTTGATTATTTCGTATGGTACTATTACGCACCCTCGGCCAATATTCTAGATGTTGTACGTAATGACTCGTGCAAATCAACTGTTAAACATGACGCCCGTTTCAACCATCTGAAATACAAGTTCAGATGCTCAGAGATCAATGCAAATACAATAATATTCGAGCAACTTCCGTATGATATGATTATAGAAGCAATGACATGTACTGTGAGAACTATAGAACAGAATTTGTCAAGTAATGACCGGCTGCTTTTTACATATGGCGAGTATTGCTTAAGATATATTTTAACCGTGATAAATATAAAAAAGTAACTATGAATTACATTTTTACAGGTAGTAGAGATAAGTGAAGTAATTTATATGGTATTATTGTCAGTTTTACACACAGTTTACATAATGATTCTAGTAAAATAACTAATATGTTTTTCGTAATTTTACTTGATTGTGTAGAATTGATTAAATGGAAATCATTTAAATGCAATTGTACATGTGGAGGTACATGTCAAAGATTGCCGACCGAGACTTAAAAATTGTTTGTAATTATGCTTAAATAATGCAGAGAAAGGAAAAATCAAACAAAATCATGTCTTAAAGCGATTATGAAACTTATTCAAACGAATAATAATGATTAGATCCCGTATAAATGCAAAAGAAGAAGAAGTTGAAAGACATGAAATATGAAATAACAAAACTTAAGTTGTGTCGCAAAGTCCTGTTATATTCGTGACACATGCGCACAAACATCATTGTTTTACATATGACTCTTAAATCCCTAAGAAAAATACAAAAAAGTATTTGCTTTATAACTACATGATTTCTAAAAATTTCTAAAAATTGTGATTGCAACAATCACAATCGTGTGATTGCAACAATCACAATCGTGAAGTAGAAACATTGTTGATTGTTTGTTTTATCACTGCAGTCTATACTATCTATTTTTTTATCTTTATCTAATATTTTCTTTTTAGTGGATGCATATGAAGAACTACTATTTGGTGATTTTTGGTGCCCTTCACCTGGGTTAGAAGACAGCTATACTTCTACATTATTAAGAAATGGTTCGTATCGGCCAGATACTGAAACAAATGCTGCACTTGAATGGAGTGTTCTTAATTATTCGTTTAAACGTTCTAAAAATGGCTCGTCAGTATCTTGCACAAAAACCTACACTGCCCATGTTTATCCTGTCAAAGAAATGGTAATTGTTCTAGGTAAGATAACAATTTCATTTCAGTATCAACTTAATAACAAAAAACGATTTTCCCACAAAATATTTTTTTCAAATGATTAACATCAAAATGGAAGTACCGAGCAACTAACATTATAGTAATTATACGTATTGCAAGCATTTCTTTAAGATTTCTAAGCATTGCTTCTTGCATAAATTGTCACAGTAAAAAAAATAATTATCCCTTTAAAAATTGTAATTAAAAATAATTTGTATTGAAGGAAACGATCGCATTCTGTCAATGTCATAATTTGTTACAAGCTTATTCTTTTCTATTTAATTTCGCTTTCGAACAAGATCTTAACGTATTTGATGTTAGCTTGTTGATATAATTGGTTTATCAATAAGTGACAGATAATAAAATATATCGATGTTCAAAAGTGTCGCTGACATAAACAAATTTTTACAAATTAATGTGTTTACATATTAGACTTTTAAAAATGCCAACAGCCTTTTTTCACGTTTGTCATATAACAAGAATTTGTAACAAAGTTACCAACGTCCCCCCCCCCCCCAGTGAAGTTTTAAATGAAGCATAAAATTGTGCTATTTCAAAAGATTGAGGTATGGATTATCTGCAAGGCAACAATAAATTTATTTTTTAAAAAAATGGAACCCGGAATTTAAAAATCTATCATGATAAGCTCTGACCTCTAAGTGTGACATTGACCTTGAAGGTAGGGGTCTGGTTGTTGCGCATGACACATCATCTTAATATTATAACAAACATTTGTGCCAAGGTATTTCAAATTCCTATGATAAATGACAAAGTTATAGACAATACACGAAAATATGACAAACGGACGGGAAGACGATATATTTCTATATTCTCCTTTTGTCTTCGAAAAGGCGGGGGACAATTACATACACTTGTTGGCCTTAAATATATTTTTATGACATGTGTCGATCCTATTATAATGTATTCATTATTTTTTGTTGAAGAAGACTTAGTATTAAAAAATAAAATAAAGAAAAATGGGGTGTGGTGATAGGTATATTCTGCCATTAAAACAACACAACTGGTTTCGTGTACCGAAGCTCGGTAATATCATAACATGAATCCTGAAAAAGAGTGTTTGATTTTGGCATGTGATTTTCATCTGATACATGTTCTTTCGTTTACGTACTTTGTTATACTAGACTAGTATATAAACAACATTTATAATAAAAGTGATAAAATAACATACATTGTAAGATAAAGTTTTGTGTAAAAAGAATAGTAAATAAGACACATGAATAGATTTCTGATGAATAGAGAAAAACTTAAAAGCGGATAATTTAGATGTTCTTCTAAAATCTATCACTTGAAATGATGCCTTTTTTTTATTGAACTTTAAAAAAAGACATCAAAATTATTCGTTTAAAATGCTGAAAAATATAATGTAATTAAAATGTTTAATAACGGTTATTTTCTTTTTATTTTAGTGACCAGTTGTCAAAAGGAAGTGGAAAGAAGGACTGAAAAATCATATGGAACAAATGCTCCTTGTTCCTTATATGTTGCTAGTATATATTTATAACATATTTTGAAAGTTTTCATTACTTTTTTATTGTTAAGTAAAATTGCTATAACTATGAAAAACTTTGTAATTATGTGCCAGTTACCTTTCTTAAACAATCAGTTCTAACAAAATATCATAAAGATTTTAAACATTTTTAATTTCAGATGCGTCAGGCTATATTTCTTATAATTACTCGAGCGAGGGAACATGTGTGCAACAAATGAATAGCTGCTCTCGTACAAATATAGCGGAAATAGAGCATATTGTAATAAGTATAGCAAATTTAAGTGTAAAATTATTTCTTATCTTTAACGAATCATCTTCAGTCTATTCCATTGACTCTATATAACTTATCATAAGCCAGTCTGAGCAACGGGATTATTGTGATTAATAAATATTTACCACATGCAAGTTTTAAATGTAAGACATGCCCCGCTAAGGATTGAGCAAGATTTATTTTCTAACTTTTATTTAATGAGTGATTGATTAAAGGGAATATGTTAAGTTCAGTGATCTCAGTTTCCCCAAATTAGATTATATTATGTTAAAAACATACCATCTATGAATGATTCGGTCAGGTTAGTAGTATATTCTTAATTCTGTATTCTTTCTTTTCTTTCTTAATTTGTTTATCAAGATTGGTCAGATCAATGGCGGGAATTCTTATCAGGAAATAGAAAACGCTCTTCTTAAGACACTAGAAGTAACAACACATCAAGATTCAAACAGCCATCTACACCATGAAGAGTTAACCACAATTATTCAAGCGTTGGACAAAATAGTCAAATTAGAGAACTGGGCTATCACTCCTAATCAGTCAAAAGTAAATGTACAGAAATATTCCTATGTGAAAATGGGACATAACTGACCCTTTAACTTTAATCTTTCCTTTTTATCAAAATATGTGATAGGCGACATTGTTTATCTTAAAGTTTGTTAAAACATTTATTATCATAAGATTTCTACCAGTGTAAGTTCTAATGTTAACAATTTTTACTTTAATGTTTTATATAATGAAATTATCATAAATTATTTCAAACTGCAATATAAGGACATTATGAATATTCAACAATGAAAGAAAGTTTATAACTTCATACTTTTCAGAACTTTGTGAGGACCGTTAATAACCTTCTTGATAAAAAGAATGTAGCAGTCTGGCAAAGCATTCCCCAAAACGTGCACGGTATTAAGGTAAATATAACAATATGTATACGAAGATATAGTTGAGTGAAACGTACAAAACTATGTTCTTAATATAAAAGTGGAAAAACAACTTCTACGTATAATATGCGGTTTGGTGAATATCCTTTAATATAAAATTTTATAATTACGTTAATAACTGCCAAAGTGTAAGAGTACAACATTTATATAAAAACTATGATGGAAGTTTTGTTTATATATCCAGAATTATCACCCAAATAAGATACCGTTGTCGTTGAAATAACTTTTATTTCACTCTATTATTCATAACTAAGCAACATGCGTTTGTATTATATGCAACAATTCGATTCAATCTGAATTGAATAATGATTATTTTACGTTCAATTGTTTGCATTCCGTATGTATGATTTCGTACATATTTTTACTCTAGAGTTTTCTTTTAATTTATGCGGTCTTTACACCTAACCGGCTCTCCTTGATAATTAACCAGTAACTTCCTATTTCTGTTGGGATGAATGTCTACTAATTACACCTGATTTTAATGATGAGAAACAAATGACCATAGCACTAATTTTCGGAGAAATGTTTCTTCGCCACATGATCGAACACGTGTATCTTGTATCATAATCCGATACTCTCCCTATCAGACTAAGCGGTCGGACATTAGTTATGCTATATTTTGTGAACATTTTTGTATCATTGTCAATGTATATTTGTTTCATATACAGGGTGATCAATGGGTATGGAAGCTTCTGAATACCGTCAGTTCGTTTTCTACAATTCTTGGAAGAACTATAAATGAAACCACTTCTAACAAAGAAAGAACAATACACACCGAGAATGTTCGTAAGTTGTATCATCAAAAGTGGTGATACATGTATTCTTCTTTTTTGTTATATTTCTATAGTTGATTCAATATTTCAAAATTTAGCTATAATCAGACAAGCCACACAAACACGAACATTTAGTTATTAAATTTAATTGCAAACGTTTCGGCTATATGCCTTCATCAGTGCAAAACATTATAAAATTACCGGAAGCGACGTCATAACGGAACACGCGTTAAACGCGCGAAAAACGTTATTGTGTTTAGCGGCAAAACTATGATAACATGTAGAAACAAATATTCATGCTATAAATAAAGCTGGTACATATTTTAAAATGGATCAACAGTGATACAGATGTCTATTAGACAGTGTTGATAAAAATAAGATAATAATAGACAAACATATACATACTCATGTAACGCATTATAAATCAAAGAATACTTTATTATTTAGTCCATTTGGAATCATAGTATTTAATTTATGGATCCAAAATATTTCTTTAACCGGTCCATGTTGTTTTCTATAATTTCTATAGGTAAAAATGAAAAATATGACAATGAACCTTTATTATCGTTTGATCCGAAATGGATCGCAACATGTGAAACTGGATTAGCGTCACAATTTCTTATATCAAATCTATGTTTATTCATTCTGCATGATACATTTTGATTAGTCTGACCTACGTATTGCTTTTTACAGCCTTCACATTTTTTTTAAATTAAGCTATCACACGTTACTTTAAGTAATACATTAAATATTCATGTTTTGATATAAAAATACATCAATTCCTGGTGCTTATCCATAACGCGGACAAATAAAAACCTAAAAGTGAATACAATTATTCATTGTTAATATTTATAAACCCAAGTACCTTATTTCATTTTTTACACCTGTTATAGCGTTTAACTTTTTTTTTCATTCTAATTTTCATTAAATCTTTTTGGATATCAGTTCTTCAGGTCAGCCGAGTGAATAGTTCTGTAGGATTAACGTTTCCAGATGCCAATAAATATCCTAATTTATCCCAAATATCAACATTACAACTACCCGTTGGTTCTTTGAAAGGTAAGTGAAATGAATTATCATGATTAAGACGATTTTCATATCCTAGAAAATTTGTTTATTTGTTTTAAGTTTGTTTTGGGTTTTACGTCACATGGACACAGTATAGGTCATATCGCGACGTTCCAGCTTTACTGTTGGAGGAAGACCTCAGGTGCCCTTCCGTGCATTATTTCAGACACGAACGGGCAGCACCTGAGTAGAACCACCGACGTTCCGTAAGCTATCATATCCTAGAAAAAATATCATTATAATGACATACGTGCATTACATTTAGTAGATTTTGAAGTATAAGAACTTTTGGAGCAAGCAAAAAACACATTTTTCAACATTGTTTATAATTAAATAGGTTAAAAAGTCAGGATAAATATATTAAGCAAGGTGTTTACCTTTTAAACATTTTGCTCTCGAATAACGATTCGAAAATACCAACATATACAAATACTTTTAAATGTCATTTCAAATTTTTTTTAGGATCGGCAATGTTTTATGGTATACTATATAAAAATGTGACTGGTTTGCTGTCGGAAGAAACAACAAAAAATAGGTACAGTAACAGCTTATTGTTCTTTTCATCAAATATCTATTAACTGTAACTTAAATGGAGTAATTATAAAATATAATCTAAGGGAAACAATCCATAAACAAATGTTGTCATAATTCATAGATTGGTTCTCTTATCTCTTTTTTTCTCAAGAAAGTTCAAGAACCACAGTTTCATAAGCATGCAATCGATAGGCTAAGTGCAAAATTTCGTACCTCTCACTATTCCATGTACAACTTTTTAAATAACTATCAAGAAGCAACTATGTTATTCAATTTTAGTGTTAAAGACGGGTTTTTGAAGTCTGCTGTAATTGGTGCTAGGCTTGACAACTGGAGAAACAATACTGATTTTAAAGTTACCATTAAATTTAAAGACTTAAAGGTAACATAACTTAAAAGAGTTTTTCAAAACTGATACAAAACTTAATGCTTTGCTATCCATTTTTATTACGTAATGTATTGAAACCCCATTTTTAATTTGATTATTATAAAACCGCCAAATATTTTTAAATTTTAATGTTCATATGTTAATATATTTCAAAGTTTCATTCGATCATATCAATGCCAGTTTCTTTTACTTTTCAGGAAAGTAACTGGCGAAAAATATGTAGTTTTATGACTGAAAACGGGTAAATTTGGATCATTTTATCCATTCTTTAAAAAGAAAAGAAAAAAGAAAAGCCATTTCAAAAATATTCATTAATTGGTTATATTGTCAACTCTTTTTTAAATAGCATACATCATTTAAAATAAAGCAACGTTTATAACAACTCTAGGTTAAGTGCAGCATCATAAAACATTCATAGTTAATTTATCTCATATCTTGACACCGAACATTTTGTTAAGTATTTAACATTTTTAATATACTATAGCAATTATAACTGAAACATCTTTTGAATAAAGCACAACGTGGATGAATGAAGGGTGTTATTTGAAAACATCAGACACAACATCAGCTACTTGTGAATGCAACCATCTTACAAACTTTGCAATTCTTATGAGTCCGTGGACAGCGGTATTATTTTAATTCTTGATTTAAAAGCTCTTCATCTATAAACATGTAAATAATGCATTCTAATGTTTGTTAATTTTTTTAGAACATACATTGACGTATATTTTTGATTAATTTGCATTGTTGATACTCTAGTTGGTTACAAAATGCAGAATTTTGCGTTTACATTTTTTAAATATTCATTTATCAGTTCTTACATCTATTATACAAATTATACATTTGACAAATTTACAAACGTATCTTAGATTGTTTCCATCTTCAGAACAAACAATGGCTACAACAGAAAAAAAACATTTGGAAGCAAACTTAAACCTACATTTTGGTTTACGCACACATTGAATTTAGCCAAAATCAGCATATTGTCAGTCAGATTTAAAATACAAATATATATTGCTTTATTTAATTTCAGAGTAATGTAGAAACAGAAACGTTGAGAATTATAACTTTTATCGGATGTTCCTTGTCAACTCTTGGTCTTGTTTTTACTGTGTTGGTACATTTATATATGTGGAGGTAATGCTTTTTATCTATATAGTTGACTCTTGTTTAAGTCCTGTAATTAAAAACGTCAGTACAGATACCAAACACTTTATTTTTACTTTTTCATTTGCTTTTAGTTAAACGTGTATGCATGTAGTAATATTTTTCACATATAATCATTTAACAATCAATCTAACTGAGATATAATGGCCATGGATATTAATACATTTAGAGCACTCCACTGAGAATTTTGACAAAACGGGGCTGGAAGCAATTTTCTGATAAGCAATGATCCATTCGATGAAGGTCAAGACCAATAACTTGTCTGCAAAATTAAGTTAAAAAAGAATCAATCACTCAACTATATAGTTCCAGAATAATGTTTTTTATTGTAAAAAATGACCCAAAATTGAAAAGCGTTGCTACGATTATCACTCACATCGAACTAGAAATGGCACAAAAAATCGATTTTTCAAATTTTTTTGTTTTTAATTTCTTAATTATCTTTTGCATATCTTTCTGTTTTTTACATTAGATCAGTGGAGTTCCTTCAAATTACTTGTAACTTTGATTAATCTAAGGTCATTCAAAAAGCTACAACAACGTTCAAGATAGTGAAACGATTTTAAAGACTTTTAAACGCATTTAAATCTTGCAGGTATTTGAAATCAGATAGAGCTACTATTTTAATGCACTTATGTGTTGCTATGGTAACATCCTATATCATTTTCCTCGGAGGTGTTGACAGAACAGACAACATGGTAAATTCTTCTTCAGTATTTGTAGTGTCTATGAGCAAAAAGCAAAAACGTTTACATACTTCAGATCATTTATTGTAAAGGCTTCGAAACGTAAAGATGTACTATGTAGGTAATTATCCAATACAAAAACTTTCTTTTGTTCAACTAGTAAGGTATATAATTTTTTGCAATATTCTTTATTAATATATATCTAAATGCAAATCACATTCACAATGTATGTATCATTCTGTAGCGTTTGGTGTCAAAATCATAGTAAAATCAAAATATTGGTTACGATATCATTGTGCATATCCACCCATATGTCTGTCGTTTATTCGTTATACTTAAACATAGTTATCGTCCAATAGGGTTTTTGTACAGCAGTTGCAGTGTTATTACAGTACATATATCTCGTTGTGTTTTTCCTGATGTTTGCGGAAGGTATTGAGATATCTTTTGCTGTTTTATACGTGTTTTCAACAAAACCAAGCATCAAATGGATTCTTTCAGCTGCTTGGGGTAAATTCTTCTTTATTTTAAATTTATTCATTGATAACACTAATGTGAAATAAAGTAAACGTAGAAGCAATATTTTACAATAATTTTTTTATCAATTTATTTATGTCGCTATAAGTTAAATTGAAAGTCAATTCGTATTTTTTTGTTTTGAAGAAAATAAAATTATAATACAAAAAATTGAAGATTGGCTTAATTTCTGGCACGACAATAAAAGATAAATACAAACATTGACAAATAATTGACCAATAATTGCAAGACAAGAACAAGAAACGAACAATGATATTACAAATTTAAATACATGTACTTTTAACGTATCTTTAAGTGATCATAAAATTGTCTTTTCCAGTTATACCGGCGTTTATTGTCGGGATAACATTGGCAATTACGAGGATGAAAGGATATGGAACTCAACATTTGTATGTTTAATCCATTCATTTTCAATTTATATATTAATTTTTATGTTACTCAAAAACATCATCAAAATTTTGATTTAAAGACGACTTATATCGAAATAGTCCTAGTTGCAATTATAGATTTATAGAAAGTTTATAAAGTATACTATATCATCCAAAATAGAAATGGATTTTATGGCATGAACATGTCCACTGATCCTTTTTCATACAGGAAAACTTGAATATGTTTGAGCTACGATTGTTGTCTGATTTCTATTTCAGTTGTTGGTTATCAGTTGACAATGGACTTATTTGGGCATTTGTTGGACCAGCTTTTATCATAATTCTGGTATATTAAATATCATACGGTTGTTTCAAAATTTTAGTTAGGTTTGTTAGTTTATTCGTTTGTCACTCAGAGGCATCGTATTTCATGCAGACGCAGTTGAAGTCATATAGCAACATTCAATCTTTGCTGTTCGAGGAAGACCTTTGTGTCCCTCCTTGCATTATTTAAAGCATAAGCACATACTCTCGATACGCTTGGTAGAATGTTTCTTTAAACCACATTTAAATAAAAATTTGAATAAATGAAGATTTTGAAAAAATAAATAATTGCGTCGTTATTATATTATACCATGTACAAAGCAGAAATGTACTTTGACCTAAAATACTTTTAATTATGTTTTATAACTGAGAGTACTCTTTTATTATGACATAAACACTTTCACAAAATATCGTTGAAAACGTATTCATGTGCTTTGACCTTCAATGAAGTACTTTAACCAAATTCGTACTGCTAAAAGTCTTCAGGATTCATGTCTACTATTTTCTTACTGACAGAAATTCACTCTATTTTAAGTTGCATATCACAATATTACAATGTATTGTTCTTTTGCTAGATAAATGCTGTGCTTCTTGGCTTTGTTATGAGAGCAGTATTTAATGTGAAAAAGATGAGACAAAAACAAACCCATGCTAAAATTGTGTAAGTAGTTTTACTTGAGTTTATATTTGAATATTAAATTTACGTTGAAATAAGTTTCAGTGTTGAATTTATAACATATTATTAGATAGAAAGCCAAACAGATTAATAAAATGGATTCACCAGTCTCTGAGTAACTTTTAAAATGAGATTACCTCATTACCTGGAAGAAATACAGAAACACCAACGTAATACTATCTAACTGATATATTTTTGATGTCATAATTTAATATGCAATAGTTTGAATTTTTTGTATCGTTGTTTTACACCTCGTTCTGAATGATTTTATTTATCATACCATTACTGTTTTCAGAGTAGGAATTCGTTGCCTCTGTATTTTACTTCCATTGCTTGGATGTACGTGGGTTATAGGTATATTCTATGTGAACAAATCTACATCATGGATCCAATATTTGTTTTCTTTTTGTAACGGATGCCAGGTAACATTCTTGTCTTTCAAAGAAAACAATAATAGGCGTGCTATCATTTCTTGCATTAGAATACAGAATGTCAAAAATGTGTGTTTGAGATTAAGAGTGTATGTAAAATATGTTGTTTTTTAATACGATTTAAGAGACGGCATATTAAATGAAAAGTATAAATGATATTTGTATTTGTCAGATTGTATTCATTTTGAAATAAATTAATATAAAGGTTACCGTAGAATCAACTGCATCATCGTATAATACATACTTTAACTAATTTTATCATTTCAGGGTGTTGTCATTTTTATTTTCCACTGCGCACTCAATAAACAGGTATTCAATTTCCAGATATATTTCCGAAAACAATAAGTAATAGCATTTTTCACTTTATTTTTATTGATACTGTGAATATTACGTTTCTGGACGCTATCTATACAATGTATTTCAGATAACAAACGCATACGAGAAGAAGCGAAGAAAATCTACAACTTCTTTGATTTTAAACCAAAGTTCAAAGAGCCATCGTTTTGTAAGTTGTTTTGTGCTCATCACGAAAAAGCCAGATAGCATTGCATGTAAACAAAAAAAAAACAAAAATAAAAAACAAAAACAAATTTAAAAAAATCCAAACAATCATTAAGAAGTGAAATTGTACATATAAAATAAATCTTCAATACAGTGTACTTATAGAATTCTGTTGAAATTTCTTCTCAAACGAAAAAATGTATTACGTTCACTAGCATTGACAAGACTTAGTTTAATTATACTATTTGTTAAAAGGGACTCCGCTGAAGTTTTTTGACATGATGGGACTAAAAATATTTTTGCCAGATAAATGTATAATTTGATTTATTACATAATTATAAATGAAATATTGAGAAATATTGATGAAATAAAATGCATATTTTCATTTTCCGTATTTTCATTGTAAAAATTTATTTTTCACTGCAGTGAAACATATTTTCCGTATTTTCACTGGTGTCTCGAGAAGAAGCGAAGAAAATCTACAACTTCTTTGATTTTAAACCAAAGTTCAAAGAGCCATCGTTTTGTAAGTTGTTTTGTGCTCATCACGAAAAAGCCAGATAGCATTGCATGTAAACAAACATATAGTAAAAAAAAATACAACAAAAATAAAAAAAAATAAATAAAAATTTAAAAAAATATTCAAACAATCATTAAGAAGTGAAATTGTACATATAAAATATATCTTCAATACAGTGTACTTATAAAATCCTGTTTAAATTTCTTCTCAAACGAAAAAATGTTTTACGTTCACTAGCATTGACAAGACTAAGTTTAATTATGCTATTTGTTAAAAGGGACTCCGCTCAGGTTTTTTGACATGATGGGACTGAAAATATTTTTGCCAGATAAATGTATAATTTGATGTAGGTTTAGACCACCTATCTTTGTGCAAAATTCAGATCATTCACGCACTTCGTTTTTCCAGAATTATTATTTGAATTGTAAAAAAAGTGACCCAAATTGAAAAGCGTTTAAACACTTTTCCCTCAAATCGAGCTAAGGCAGGCATACAAATGCCATTTTTATTTTATTTTAAAGTATATGTCCCAACTGTCTTTGCATATATTATTTCTGCCCAAAATCATTTATGTAAGACATTCAAACGTTATGTTTTTAGACTTTTAACCCTTAGTGGAGTCCCTGTAACAAAATGTGAATTTCAAAATGTTGTTATCATTCTTATATAAAAATAACAAGATTATATAACTTTTTAGCAAGAGAAGACAAAATATTTATCATCATCAGCCTTGTATCTTGTCAACAGTGACACTGGCATAAGTAGTAAGTTATAGTACTATAATTGTCATATTTGTCTTTGAAACGTAAGCAAAACTAGTTAAGATTTGCTTTCTTTCACCAATTTTGTTTCAAATATAAATAAGATGCGTTTTGAAATGGCTACGGTTGACAATATTCATCAAATATATGCTTTGAAAATTATATCACTCCCTAGTGCATCATTAAATATAGCTACGAGTTTAAGTCGTGTTTGACAAACAAACTTGTAAGAACATGTGATTGCATGCATTTCAATTGCAATGACATGTGAACATTATCTGTTAATTTTTCAGAAATTCTAAATAAATCTAATTCATTTAACTACTACAATTTCTGAATTACACCTTTTTATTTTTCAGGCTCACGTTCATCAGACATAGACATTGCAAGCAATGGAAGAAACTTTTCTAACAATATAAAAATGGTAGCATATACAATTATATCAAATCATATTCTGCAACTTATCTTGTAAAGAATCATTTTTACAATTACTTGAAGATTTCTTAAATATTATTGAAAGTGGCAATATTAGTTTTGATGAAAAACAAGGTATTAGTTGATCATTTGTATCATATTTGAGCCGTGTCATGACAAAACCAACATAGTGCGTTTGCGACCAATATGGATCCATACCAGTCTGCGCATCCGATCAGTCTGATAAGGATCCATGCTGTTCGCTATCAGTTTCTTTATTTGTAATAGGGTTGGTAAGCGAACAGCATGGATCCTGATCAGACTGCGCTGATGCGCAGGCTGGTCTGGCTCCATGCTGGTCGCAAACGCACTATGTTGGTTTTTATCGTGACACGGCTCATTTCTTTTGCAAAGCTACAACGTATTTCCATACAGCTCATTAGACAACACTTATAAGCATTTCAGTAACTAATTATATTTATCAATGTTGACATACCACGAGTCAGTTTACTAATATGTGTGATAAGATATCAAAGTATCTATTTCTTAAGACAAAAACGGATTTTTGCCTTTTTGCGTGGGAACAGTTTACAGAAATCTTAAATCTGAAGCTTCTTAATATGATATATATGAGCCACGTCACGACAAAACAAACATAATGGTTTTGCGACCAGCATGGATCCAGATCGGCCTGCGCATACGCGCAGTCTGATCAGGATCCATACTGTTCGCTTACAAACCCAATTACAAGTAGTGAAACTGATAGCAAACAACACGGATCCTGATCAGACTGCGCGGATGCGAAGGCTGGTCTGGATCCATGCTGGTCGCAAACCCATTATGTTGATTTTGTCGTGACACAGCTCATATTTTATTTACAGCCTGTTATAAATTAGTTCATTAATTTATTTGTTGTTTTTTAGTATCATGTTTCGGGATTAAAGTAATCACCGGAAAATGAACAACGAGTCACACTTACGTATCCCGTGATATTACTTTCCATTCCATTTTAAATTACACGGATGTGGTTGAAAAATATCTATAAAGACATATAAAATTTAAGATTGATAAACTCTTATTTGAAATACACAAGCAAATATCGCGACGCACAATCAGCTGATTGAGGAAAGCAACGTGTAATGGATGTCATGGGTCACAATTTAGTACTTTAGCACAATGTCTTAATAATTGTCTTACTATTATATTGAAGGGTCAGATGAAAACAATCTTTTGTTTAAGAAACCCAAAGGTGATTATGCAAGTACGTGCATTTACCTAAATATTTGGGATGTTTGTCCGTGGTATGTCGGACTAAATCAACATTATCTTTATATTATTTTCGGAATTATTGTCAATCATTATTTTTTTTTCATTTCATAAGCACTATGGATATTATTAGATATCATCAAAATATATCTTACAACTTATTTATACTTATTCATATTCCACTGCTTCTATAAATATACATTTTGGCTTTATTTGTTTCTATCACATGCTTTTCAGAAAAGGTTTGGACCTGTGAAGTCAATAGCTGAAGAGAAAAGAAGTTCCCTGTAAATGTAATAGATGCATGTATACGGAGTAAAAGTTCTGATCTTCTGTTAGCAGTTATTGTGCAGAAATGGAGTTATTTTCTGACTACTATTCGCTGATATATCGAACCAGTTTTTGCATAACTGTTTAATTTGCCGGTTGCGTTTCGTTATTTTTGTTATAGAAATTTAATGGAAAAAAAAAAACGGATTTTATTTTCTAAATCTATTAATTAATAAATACCATGTAATTTTAACAAATCAAAGAATTAATTAATTTTAATATTAAGCAGCAATCGTTATCTTAATTATTCGGATTTAAATCCTTTCACTAAAAAGTAAAAAAAAAACTGTTTAGTTGTTATTTCATTTGGTTTTGAATTATTATATCATTTGGTATTGTTTTTTTTTATTATTTTATGAAAAGAAATATAAACAGTCTTGCAAACTTAGACTTCTATGTGGTAATTTATAGTGTCTTCATATATTTCAGTTTCTGATTTTTTAATGCAAAGTTTAAAAATCGCTCACAAAAAATGGCAAAGGCAAATTTCTTCTGCTTTCAAAAAATGGCAGATACAAATTTCTTTAGAAAAGACAATTTTTCCCGACCATACCTCAACTTGATACCTCAAGTTATAATAAAATAAACATTGCATTGCATTTTTCAATGCTTTTATATTTATATATGAGCCGTGTCACGACAAAACAAACATAATGGGTTTGCGACCAGCATGGATCCAGACCAGACTGCGCATACGCGCATTCTGGTCGACCCATGCTATTCGCTTACCAACCTTATTACAAGTAGAGAAGCTGATAGCGAACAGCATGGGTCCTGATCTGGATCCAAGCTGGTCGCAAAGCCATTATGTTGGTTTTGTCATGACACGGTTCAGTTATGTATCATGCCAAAATTTAAATGTTCTTGATACTTCAATCGTGAGTGAAAGGAACAATATCTAGGAGTTTAAAAGTCGAAAACAATTTCAAAACCTGAAGCATAAAGTACTTAACATGTGCATATTTCAGTGTACAATAACGGCAGCGCTACATGATATCATCTCTACATTGATTCAGAGCTTTAATGTTACAATTACAGTTGAAGCATTATATGAGAAACAGTCAAAGATTCAAAAAATAAATACATTCACACTTTTTTCGAAATAGTAGAATCTAATGCATATGCTATGAAAACTGCTTTATTTGTTTATTGACTTTTTCCAAGAAGCCTACATTTCACACAATTTATAATTAGAAGCGGTACCGACATTCGCCGCCTGTTTTACATATTGATTTTGGGGACGTCCACCATATAATGAGATCTAGGTATAAGGTTATTAATTATGTTTTTTTATTATATAATTGTATTGTGTTCTAGGTAATTCTGGTCAATAGAATCATTCTGTAGTGCAAAGAGCAATAAAAGGTTTCAAGTCAATAGCCATGGTTCTAAAGGAATTTAAGAAAGCCTAATAGTGTCAAATGAAATAAAGAATAAAAATGCAAAGGCGTTATAACGCGAATAAAGGCGTTATTACGCGAATCAAAAGGCGTAATAACGCGATTAAAGGCGTTATAACGCGAATCAAAAGGCGTTATTACGCATATCAAAAGGCGTAATATCGCGAAAAAAGGCGTAGCAACGCAAATAAAGGCGAAGTAACGCGAATAAAGGCGTTATAACGCGAATCAAAAGGCTTAATAACTCGAATAAAGGCATAATAACGCGAATCAAAAGACGTAATAACGCAAATTAAGGCGTAATAACGCGAATTGAAAGGCGTAATAACGCCTTTATTTGCGTTATAACGCGAATTAAAAGGCGTAATAAAGCAAATCAAAAGGAATAGTTACACAAACCAGAAGGCGTAATAACGCAAATTCAAACGCATTATAATGCCAATTCTATACCATATTTGTACTTATCAAATGGCCTAGTAACGTGAGACAGGAAAAACAATATTGATCTGAATTTATTGCTCAAGATATAAACTCGTATAGAATAATATAATATACGTTTACAATAACTGTCATTCCATTTGCGCAGTAATATTGCAAACCATTTGTAATAAACTAATGAAGACTCTTTGATATTTGTCAATATCAGGTGACTTGGAGACTTAAAGGTCCATTGGGTTATATGTCAATACAGTTACTCTGAATTCACATCATTGATTTTACACATGTCACTATAGTAAATGAATTTCTATTTTTTCTTATATCTTATCTTATTTTATATGTGCGTCATATGTTCAATTATATACGGATATGTCCTGTATAATTACTTAATAACCTTTAGTATCTTTTAATTATGTGAATGTCGTTCCTTATTACGCTATAGGTAATTGGGTATAGGTAACAAGATTTGGAAAAACGTAAGGCATACGTAAGTCACATTAGGGTGAAAGTATCTCTAATTATTGATAGGTATGCTTAGAGAGGTAAAAGTGTTTCTGTTAAGTTACAATTATAGGAGACATTGTCTTCTTTGTCTTTATCGAAAAGTATCTATAGTTGGGTGATAGTAACCTCTAATCTCACGATAGCATTTCCTAATAAAAGATTAATAACAGACTGTGGCCTTAGGACTAACCGTACAGAATTGAAAATAAAACGTACATCTTGATCAATTCATTTCAATCAACATTGTTCTTCCTATCTTACATCATAAGGCCACGGTTCAGAATTTACATGGTATTAAATAAGCGTGATAACGCCTTTCGTTTCGCGTTTTTACGCCTTTATGTTCGCGTTATAACGCTTTTTGATTCGCGTTATTACGCCTTTTGATTCGCGTTATAACGCGAAAAAAAGCGTAATAACACGAATCAAAAGGCGTAGTAACGCCTTTATTCGCGTTATAACGCGAAACAAAAGACGTTATAACGCAAATAAAGGCGTAATAACGCAAATCAAAATGCGTGATAACGCCTTTATTCGCGTTATAACGCAAATCCAAAGGCGCAATTACGCAAATCAGAATGCGTATTAACACGATTTAAGGCGTTATAACGCGAATCAAAAGGCTTACTAACGCAATTAAAAGCGTTATAAAGCGAATCAAAAGGCGTAATTACGCGAATAAAGGCGTTATAACGCGAATCAAAAGGCGTACTTACGCGATCAAAGGCGTTATAAAGCTAATCAAAAGGCGCAATAACGTGAATAAAGGCGTTATAACGCCAATCAAAAGGCGTAATAACACGAACCAAAAGGCATAATTACGCAAAACAAAAGGCGTTATAACGCTTATTTAATACCATATAAATTCCAAATCGTGGCCTAGTAATGTAAGATAGGAAGAACAATTTGATCTAAATAAATCGATCAAGACGTACGTTTTATTTTCAATTCTGTACGGATACGCCCTAAGGCCACAGTCTGATTTTTAAAATCTTTTATTAGGAAATGCTTTCGTCAGATTAGAGGTTTAACTATCACCAAACTATAGATACTTTTCTACAAAGACAAAGAAGGGAATGTCTCCTATAATTGTGACTTAACTGAAACACCAGCCCCCAATTACACATACTTATCAATAATCACCCTAATGTGACTAACTTATACCTTACATTTTCCCAAATTTTGTCACCTATAACCTATTACCTATAGCTTAATTAGGAATGACATTCACATAATTAGAAGATACTAGATGTTATAAGGTAATAAATAGGAATATATCAGAAGATAATTGAACATATGACGCACATATAAGATAAGATAAGATATAAGATAAGATAAGATGAGAAAAGAAAAGAAATTCATTTACTATAGTGACATGTGTAAAATCAATATGTGATACATGTAAATTCAGATAAACTGTATTTACGTCCAGTCCAATGGACCTATAAGGCACCAAGACACCTAAAATTGGCAAATATTAAAGAGTCTTCATTAGTTTATGACAAAAAGTTTGCATTATTACTGCGCAAATGGAATGTTAGTTATTGTAAATGTATATTATATTATTCTATACGAGTTTATATCTTGAGCAATAAATTCAGATCAATATTGGTCTTCCTTTATAACGTTAATAAGCCATTTGATAAGTACAAATATGGTATTAAATTGGCATTATAATGCGTTTTAATAGGCGTTGGTACACCTTTTGGTTCGCGTTACAACGCCTTTATTCGCGTTACTACGCCTTTTGATTTGCGTTATTACGCCTTTCAGTTCGCGTTATAACGCCTTTATTCGAGTTATTACGCCTTTTGATTCGCGTTATAACGCCTTTATTCGCGTTATTACGCCTTTTTATTCGCGTTATTACGCTTTTTGATTCGCGTTATAACGCCTTTATTCGCGTTACTTCGCCTTTATTTTCGTTGCTACGCCTTTTTCGCGTTATAACGCCTTTTGATTTGCGTAATGACGCCTTTTGATTCGCGTTATAACGCCTTTATTCGCGTAATTACGCCTTTTGATTCGCGTAATAACGCCTTTATTCGCGTAATAACGCCTTTGTATTTTTATTTTTTATTTCTTTTGACACTATTAGGCTTTCGTAGGAATTCACTTCATGTCAATATCGTAAAAACGTTTTGAGTTATCAGTCAAATATTCTTATATGAAAGAATTTAATTTTTTTTCTCAAACGATACATGTGGCACAGCGACCCAAACTATTTCAAAAGGATGACCACAATAGGTCAAACTTAAATATCATTTATTATTATTTTTCACGAGGGGATGTCAAAATGACGTTGTATGTTGGTCTAGATGTATGTAAGTAAGCAAGTAAAGTAAAGTAAAGTAAAGTAAATAAGTAAGTAATTTATTCATTATAATGTAGTAACATGTACGATCATATTTTTTTAAATCAAATTATAGAACATATTAAATACACCCGGCCCAATGGGCCTTTAAGTCACGTTCAATAAACATAAAATATTTATAAGTCATAAGTCATTATATTAACAAACTCATTTGTAAAAATCGTAGCTATAACGTGATAGAAGTAGTGTGTATATAATATTTGTTTAATTTAAAGTTCATATTATATGTGATTTATTCTATATAT